CAATTTCCTTTGTGTCGCGAGAGCAACGCTGTGAAAATCATTTACGTGAGATAACAAGACACGATGGGGATATATTGATTTAGGGAAAATAAACACGGCGATTTCAATTTAAAACAGACCTTCCCCATTGTATGGGTTTAATTAAAAGATTCTAAAGAGTCCGGAAGCGGATGTGTTTCAGTGTTGAAAGTGCCGACTTGAATAATACGTGGGGGACAAATTTTAAAGTGTATACGTGCGCCTTCTCCATTTTGACGTTGCAAAACGCGGAGATATGTCCAGTGTCCTTAATGTCACTGTCTACCCGCGCGAACGAAATTAGGGAGATTTATCCCGTTCGTTTGCGTTTCACAGGGAGCGCGCCTGGGATTACGAGACATTAGTCGCTACACAAATTACGTGCTGTGCACCGCGGCGGGAGAAATTATTCGGCATGCCCGTCGCTCTATGAGCAATTTAGGATTCGTTGATTAGACGCAGGTGCACGGCGGAACCTCGCGATCATTCAGGATCTAGACCGGTCATTAGGTTCACCGAATTTAGGGGCGCAATAGTTGGACCATGATAATTCAAGATTGTAAACTTACGCTAATTTGTCGCGTTCACACGCGCGGAAAGTCACTCATTAGTCCGGAGATCCTTAATCTACGATTTAACCCTCATCTGAAACAAACTCTTAAATCAGTTAGAGAAACGCATTTAAAGAAAATATTACCTAACAATCGGAGAATATCATTCTAATAAGCAACTTTTTAATAATATTAATAAATATAGATAATATTTCTTTTAACAAATTTATTAAATTTATTAATAATTATTTGATTTAATTGTAGCTACTATATCTTTGAATTTTAATGAATCACGATATAATCACACTAATTAATTACGCAAATGGTTAAGAGAACATTCCAAAGACAGAATCAAAATTGGATGAACAAGAAGCAAAATACCAACGCACTGCTAGCATTTTGCAAGCATTTTGTGGTAACAAATGATAAATTTAGATTTTCTGCAAAACCTCTTTCTCTCTCTTTCTCATTGTCTTGTGATCAATTACGCCGCGTACGTATTAGATGGGAAGAGACGACTTGAAATGTTCTCTTTTTGAAATGACGCCCACAAATTCTGCCGCACGCGGACAAAGGAAAAAGCTGAATCATTCGCGACGCTGTTTATTTTGCTGCACGAGAATAATGATGCGCCACGTGTGCAGCCTCGTTTCGTGAAAGTACGACACTCGGAATTTCCGAATCTGCATTACGCGTTACGCTCATTGTGTTTTGGGTATCGTCTGCAAATCTGATATTTGCGCAATATTAAAATACCGCGTTACTATGTATACTCAGTGTTTAATTTTTTTTTTATATTTTACACGTTTATATATTTTTATAGAAATTAATTTTTTACCTTTGCTGTTACAAGTTACGCAGTAATGATATGAATCTCGATACAAATTTATTTCATTATTGATCGTGGAAATATACAAAGAAACTAGACACCGTGGTTTAATGATTAAAATAATAATAGTAGTGATACATATAATAGTATGGAAAATCTTTCTGACGTGAGTGCTATTATATATATAAATGATCTTATAATAGATCTCGGAGATACATGAGCTTACATTAACATTATTCACGGTACTTTCCAGTGAAAACGCTTTACTCGAAATTATTAGACCGCTGGGGGCTCCTCTCGAAAGGCCAGAAAGTCCCCATGATCCACCACGAAATATGATCATACAATTAAGGCGTGATGAAACGAGGACTTTAATAATGTAGGTGGGTATCCCCCAGGGGGAGGGGGTGAAGAGGGGGTAGATTGCTCGATGAAGTTTCGAGGCTCACACAGTCAAAGTGTCAGAATTAGCATCCCGTTTCATCCTCATGGCAACGCCCATGAAAGTTGCTAATACAATCGTTGCTCGCCGCCTGTTGCACCCCCAACATGCACGCGGAGTGAAAGAGTGAGGAGGGCGAGGGAGGGAGAGTTCGCTTTAAGATCCAACAAGTGGTTCGTCTGAGAGTAACAATGCCTTCTAATGTACTAGCTTTTGCCATTGTGTCGGCTCGGAAGCGCGATCGGTCCTCGACGTGGCGACCTTCGACGCCGCGCCGCGCCGCGCCGGCAACGTCAGCACTGCAGAGAGACTTGCGAAAGCTAAAACGAATTTGGCTCGACATCTAGCTACGTAGCTTACTCGCTAACGTTTCAAACAATCTCTTTGAACGCCCACCCTCCCCCTCCCCCTTTCCACCATGTGATATTGACGTATACACGTGTGCGTTTTGCGAGTGTTTCGGTGTTATACTTAAATTTATTCGTCGTGAGATTTTATATTCGCTCAGCAGAAACTGCGTATCTCTACGTCATGATCGTTTAATTAGCCACGAGAGTGCTATTAAGATTTATACATTTTTAATTTACTATTAAATTGAATCAATTGCGAAATGTATGATTAAAGTGCTACATACATATATGTACGTGCGTTATAACATATATGGGCAAGTTTAATTTATAAAACATAACATCTACAAAAAAAGAAGTATTAGTTTTGCTTTAAAACACGCGTTTGTGTAACTCATTTAACTTTAATAACATAAAATTTTATTAATATAGAATCTTTCGTAACATAAAGATAAAAAATTTTTAATAAAATTACATAGTCGTATATGTTGGAAAATACCAACAGAGAAGAATATATTGAAAATTTAAATTTTCCTAAAGATATCTGAAAATATTAATGAAACGTCAATGTTTTTATTAGCCAGACCAACTTAGTGACGAACGAACGTTTGCGTTGACGTCGTCGAAGCGACAGTACTTCGGATGCTTTACGAGGAGACCGGATCTGAAATAAGCCCGTGTCTCATGGAATTATAATCGACATTGATCGAGTGCCTCCGTAACAGAGAAAGAAATAATATAGATCCGCGAGTTTATATAGAATTCTCGGATTCTCGACGTGCGTCACGCTCGTAAAGTCTTTAAAATTGAAAATTGTGCGAATATCAAGTCAACAATTTTAAGAAAAAATTAATAAAAATAACCTCAATAATTAATTACGCAAATAAAGAATGTTATAGTACTAAAAAAGTTTAAAAAATTTAGCATAAGGAATACAGATTTAGAATGTTGTTTTGCTATAACATCTAGAAAAAAAGGAGCAGAGGGGTTTCAGTTAAAAAAATAGAAATAAGAATAGAAAAGCGAGAAAAAAAAGGAAACATATAAAATAATAAGAAGAGAATAAGTCAGAATAAGAGAAGTCAGAATTATTATTAATTTAATAATACACTTGGGTTAAACGTTATGATTAAATCTATATCAGATACGGGATAATAATACAAACATTTTATAAACATAATACAAGTATTTTTGCTGTGAATATACGTCGCGCTAAATAAAACATTCACTTCGCGTTAATCGAGATTATCTCGCCTACTACGCGTCTCATACAAACGCGATAATTAATTCGTGGATTGCATTGGTAATCATTCACTCATTAGCGACGTTCAAATATTTATTACGGTTTCCGATCTACAATTCTACTCATTTTGAGTTGAACGTTGCGCAGCCGGTCAGTAGATAATACATCACAATCTGATATTATTAAGCATGACAGTTATACATTTCACGAAACTATTTCCACGATCGATAAATTTCGACAGTCCGATAATACATTTATTGTGGCGTCCTTATTTTTGAACCTATCAAAGTTGAATTATGATTTGATTTATGATTTCAAGTCGTTCAGACTAGCAATTTCATATAGATAAGTACTTGAAACTATAATTTTTACTTTTATTGTTAGACTTTTTCTCATCGAAAGCTGCGAGTTTTGCGAATAAAAAAAATATTCAAACTATTGGACGAAAAATAAAATTCCTCGTTGCACTCGCAAATGCGAATTAATTACGAACAGTTTCAGTATAATTTGCGTCGCGAGAAGTTCTCAGGGTTGCCCCTTAGGTTCACCCATCTCTTTACTACCAAATTTACGCTGATGATTCATCGTGTTTTAAAATAGAAGTCCAATGACTCCACGAAGATCTTGACATTGTCCTGGCACTTGTGGTATAGTATATATATTGAAAAATGAAATCGCTAGATTGTCATATAATTTGAACATTGATTTCATAGCGATTAAATTATGGAATACATGCAACTGCTAATTAGCGATATACAACGAATTAATTATTTTATAAATAGGATATACGTAGATATGCATACATACGATAAATGTAAATTGGTTAAAATCCTGCCGTTAATAAAACAATTTAATCGATAATATTAAAAATGGATTAAAAGTATCGCATATATTGGTATTTCTAATTTCGCCTAGTTTTAATTCTGACACGAACTATATTATTGCTGAGAAGAATTTCTATTACTATGAATGTATAAATATCGGTCCAGTCAGATGACTGATGCAACAGCACTATCAGCTGCTGTTGCAAACCGCTGTTTCCTCAATCGCTTAACACGTGGCTGTGGATGAATAAGATTCTGGCAGTAGTTGAATTTTGAAACACTTCGGTTAATCTATTTATTAACTATGACGATGTAGAATGGCGCAAGATATTGAAACGCATTGAGGCATCCTCGCATCCGCATTAAACATTATTCTTCGAATAAGCAATAATGTGAAATTCTTTCGATAAAAAAAACCAATATTAATCACATTATTACTAAGATAGATAATTTATTTTTAAATATGACAGAGATAGAAAAAGAAAGTTTTCGCAGATATCCTTAAAAATACTCTTAAATGCCGTTGAATACGAAAGAAAGAGTGTTTATGATATTTATAGCATATTTTTTGTTAAAAATATAACTTGGTACATTTATATTGTTATATTACAAAACAAAATGTATATTAAAATACTAAATCAATTCGATATAGTCGAAGAAATGAATACTAATACAATATATGTAACTGATCCTATTTAATTCCAATGTAAAGCGCTAAGATTGAAAATGAGTTTTCTTCTTTTTAGGCATGGAGCAGTTCGAGCAGCTGCTAACCTGCGCAATATGCCTGGATCGATACAGAAATCCGAAGCTCTTGCCATGTCAACACAGCTTTTGCATGGAACCGTGCATGGACGGCCTTATCGACTATGTTCGTCGACAGGTCAAATGTCCGGAATGCCGTGCCGAACATCGTATACCATATCAGGTAAATTATATCTTAACTCTATTAGACTGTATAATTGATATACTTCTATTAAGACATATAATTTATATACTTAGAATTATTGAAAAAATTTTTAAAATTGTTGTTAAGAGAAAAATGTTAAGAGAAATTAATTATTTCTCGTGCCTCATTAATTACATGTCGAAATAAATTGTCTATGCACGTACTGTGGTTAGTTTTAGAAAAATAACTTTTCGCTATTTCGCAAAACGTACGAGAAGTACACAATTGCGCAAGCTGTCGCGATTCGTTTGTTTCAAAACCGATTCTCCAGCGATTAATACATTTCGCTCTATTGGCTTTATGTTTTTAATGTTTGCGGTAAATTGCGATCGGACAATAATGCAAACAGAAGAAAAATTGATCTATGTTTTGTCGCACAAATTAAATGTTGCTCTGTGCGTGTCAACGTAACTCGATGTGCCACTATGTGTAAGCTCATCTTTATTCAACGGTGAATCCAAACGCGAGAGAATTCTCATTAAACCCAGTGTATTCTCGCGTTTCGTGCTAATTTCGCCTTCGAAACCGGTCTGTTTTTTCAGAATAATCGAACGTGGTTACGTAAGCAGTAACAAAATTCCAAAGTTTTCGATCACAATTGCTGCATAATTAACTCCAATTATATTTTAGAAGAATCGAATAATTTCAAAGAAAAAGGACACGCGTAGGCGTAGATAGTTTTATAACGATATATTTAACATTGCCGCATTTCACAATAATAGCGTTTCAATTCATTCGCTTTTACACTCACAGGTTAGTATCTTCACTCGGGCAATGTTGACAAAGGAACGTCGAGCGCGTTGTATAATTAATTCGGCAGGCATTATTCGCGCGGTGCTTCGATTCCGGTCCATTAATAAGCGGCATACTTGATGCATGTACACGTATTACGGGCGTTAATTGAGCCGAATGTACATCCTATTTGTAGGGCGTGCAAGCCTTTCCGACCAACGTGACGCTGCAGCGATTCCTGGAATTGCATATCGAGATCACGGGAGAACTGCCGGACCCGACCAGTGGTCAGACCATGGAACGCTGCGGCGTTTGCTCGGAGAAGAGTTACTGTCAGCTGTGCGTGCATTGCGAGAAGAAATGCTGCCCCGAATGCAAGGACGCGCACATGGATATCCTGAGACGCGAAATTGCCCGCATTAATTCTCAGGTACAATAATGTATACCTTTTTACGCGAATTCAGAAAATCAGGGAAAAAATCGAGGAAAATAAAGAAAAAATAAATGTTGATCTAGAAAAAAAATTTAATGAAAATTAGAAGCAATGAGAAGATATAATAAAAAAATAAGGGAAGTTATCAATTAATTAATTGTATTTATTAATATATTAGAAATATTTATCGAGAAATGCTTTGTGAATCAATATTAATGCTGCGTGAAGTAAAACGATGAATCTTAATACTTCTTTTCATTATCGTCGTTTATGTGGGTGACAATTGATGAAGTTTTTCCATCATATATTCAAAAAGGCAAGCCTGTCATCAGAAATTTTATTGTACCGATCGCAGAAACTCATTTTACCGGGTCCATAACTAATTTTCTCTTCCGCTTGTCGGTAGACATTGTAATGCATTTAGACAAGCGGAAACTGTTGTGTTACGGTATTCGATATCGGTGTACTTTAAATTCGTTACGTCGTGCCCTTCGGCGTCCCAACGGAAAATTTATTGCCGCGCAACTTCGCGCATTGCAATTAACCGTGTACGATAGGGACGTACGTTGAAACAAGATTGCGACCTAGATTTTTCGTTTTCTGCTAACGGCGTGCGATATGAAGCCGTTAGTTGAATTCGATAAAATCAACTAAATACGAAATAAGATTATGGAGTGATAATTAAGTTAAATAATCAAGCTTACGATTCAACGACTAGTTTTTATATCACTAAACTGCAGAGATATTTTATCTTTATATTTTATCTCAAAAGTTCTGTATAAGAATTATTATTTGTATCTGAAGAGTCGAGATACTACATTTTTTTTAAATCAACTTGTCCAAGAAAAGTTAAATTAATAAAATAACAAAAGATAAAAATTATCTTTCTTGAAATTCAATTAACAAACAATTCAATTAACATCAGAAGTACCATAAGGTCAATATTGACCATATCTATTTTTAAAGTAACATTATATTTTTTTTATATATAAGATAGAATTCTAAATATTTTTATATTTTTTTAATATAACTGCATCTTTTATATTATATTCTTCACACTGCTGAAGTATGTGATTTTTCATCTCTCTTCTTTACTTTTATAGTAATTTAATTTATTTTCCCGGTCTTTTTAATAAGTAAGAAACGTTAGCGTTATACAGTATTTTTAGTATTAAGAAAAAAAACTATAACTGTTACGTGCCGAAATTTATCGTTCGATAATTTGACATTAAGAACTTTGGGAGACAAATTGTATGCATTGAACGGAATGACGTACGGGGTCGTGCGAATTCGCCGTATGTCTCCAGGAGCACCTCGATGAATCACGTCTATTTCGAGTGACGGAATAAACTTCGAGGCGCGATCGTCTTTGAGACAGTCCAGAGATACCCGAGATCGCGCTTCGACAAGCGGGATATCGCGCGTGTAAGGCGCACAGATTCGCGAACACATTTCAATGATCAAAGTTGCTAACACGACTCTGTCGAATCTGTCAAGTCTTCCTCCGTACCCATGGAAATTGCGCGCGCGTGCTTGAAATATGGCCCGCTCTCACCGTTCGGATTCCCCGAGAATTGATGCTGATCGTCGTTTATATTTCATTATGTTTCACAATTATTTAGGAGCGCGAACGTGGATCGATAAAGCGAGAACCGAATTTCCAGAAAAACATTTATTATTTGTACTATGGAAAATACTTACTTTCAAGTCTTCCTTTAAATTGTTACAAATTAAAATACATATTTCTTTGACAATTTTAATTTTAAAATTTTGCTGCAAAAGCATTTAAACATTATAAACAATTGTAATTATTTTTTTCCTGGAGGAAAATAATTGGCTATGATAATTGGCTATGATAATAGAATACGTAGAATGAAAAGCAGCGTGAGGAATCTAGGACGCTCGATGTACGTGAGCTTTTTAATTACATAAATTTATTTACTGCGCGAGAAAAAAATTTTATACTCCCTTTGTGTATACAAACATTCATATTTCATTTCTGCATCATGTTTCTTTTGATTTAATTAGTTACACTGGAAAAAGAATCTGGCTGCATAAAATTTTAGTAGATTCAATCAGTATTATGTTTGAAAAATGAACGAATCAAAATTCTTCTAAAAATTATCAGATGATTATTATTCCTTCTTATTAAATATGCCAACATTTCTTGATAATAAAATTAAAATTTAGTTAGGTCAGCACAACTTTTTAGTGAAAAAAATATTTAACGAATATAATTAGAAGTATTTTTTAGATTCAATCGCAAATACTAACCAAATCCTTATAGATAAGTTTACTAAATTAGCTATAAAATGATAATTGAAAATTCTGTTTGATCTCACCAAAATGCATTCTACGATCAGTTGTTGACATAATCAAATCATTTTTCTCGCAATCAGTGTAATGGACAAATTTCAGCGCCGTGAATCTTTTCAAAAGCGGCTAGTAATTTGCAGAAAAGCTTAGAATACGATTTTGCCACCGGCTTTAATTAGTTAACAACCGGACCTTCCGTGTCGCGGGGCTTTCAACCGCACGATTGATCCTGTAATGCACCGAATCTCATTACTGTATGGACACGCGATTGCACTTGGGAATTTACGCGGCAAAATATGTATCTATTATTTGATTCGCTACGGTTAGACTTAATTAATTTTTATTGCCATCGATTTAACAGTTGTCACGGAATATACGCGAAAATTATGTGCGCGCCATGCTCCGCGCACATAAAAAGCGATAAAGAATAATTATTTCCAAAGGCAGCGAAGAGAGGAATAAAAACGCGCTGAACCATTTATTTCGCGAAACAGCGTGTAAAATAATCCCCCTTTAAAAAGCTCGTTTTTATTTATTTTAATAGCACCCGATTTAATCAATTTGAAAAAGACTCGCGCAATGTTCCATTTACGGTATCACACTTCGTAAAATTGCGTTTACGCTCAACACGTCGAAAGAATCATATTTTTCGGCATTTTATTTTATATAAAACGCACACGCGAAAGAGGTATATATAACGTGTCTATCGTCTATCGTGTGTAATTTAAGCCATTAATACAATTTCTATCCTGCACTCCGGAAAATTTCGTTGATTATCGCATTGCGCGGGAAACAACAAATACCTTCGTACACGTGCTCATCCGGCGCGTGCACAATATACTGTCAAAAAAAAATTTGATTTGTTTATCTTAATCGTTCGCGATTTAACCGATTTATACAATTTCAGTAGCGCCGCACGACAGGCCATGAAATTTCGCTCGAAAATAGCATCCCTCGGCGAGACGCGAGCGCGTAAAAGCCGGGGGTCTCCCGTCCTCCCGTCGAACGGTGAAATAAATGCGACGGAGCACGTGGTAAAATCACGATGCAACTCGACCTCGCCACGGCATAAGAAATTATGATGCTAATGCACCGAGATACTCCCCGCGAATGCATTCACGTCCCTTGCACTTTTCTCTAACTCCCGGCAGAATAATAGGACGGCTCTCCCACGATTTTCCGGATTTATTCTGTAAACCGGGCACGATTTCGTTCCCGTCGTCGTACGGAAAGAAATGTACCTAACGATATACAATTTGTATATATATATATATATATATATATATATATACATATATATATATATGCATATATATATATTTCCTTATAAAAGTATATTACAAAAATATTCAGATCACACGACAACTCTTGCAATCTCTTGCTTCGCTTCACCTTCCTCAATAGTTATCGACAATTTTTTTACGTTTAGGTTTGTCATTCATTGCTCATGCAATTTGATGCAACATTTACGTTTTTACTAAAATACATCGATGGGAAAGTTTCCATTAATTCTTACCTCTATTAGTGATAAATTAGATACAATTGCATTACGTCACCAATTTGCTATAGATATTTGCGGTCGGATCGCAGTTGCACACGTAGTTGCAAATAAACCGTCCAATTCGAATGGGTGACAATACCGATACCCATGAATTTCGAGTCTTTCCATACCAATTGAGTGAAATTACGCACGTATTTCAAATTTCTCGGTCGTGGCGTGTCATAATTGTAATAACTGTTCTCTTGATTATTACATACCGAAAAGCTAATGAATCGATTCTCGGAAAGAATACTGAGAAATAAAAGAAGACAATTCAATTTTCTTGCACAGCTGAAAAAAAAACAAATAATTTTTAAAGAAATTAAATAATTTTTTGTCATTGTATTGGAGATACATTGCATTAATATTTAATACTTATAGCGTAATCATTAATTTATTTACTGAAATCGAAATTATAATTTTTGAAAGGCATTAAATCTCTCTTGTGATAGAAATATAATTTCAGATGTTTTCATTTTTTTTTCTTGTGTATCATGCTTTTACAAAAATTGTTTCTTCTCGCATATTCTATCACGTTGTAATAATTCACTTCAAATTTGTTCCACGCATTACTGCACAATAGATCATTGCAGATATCCTGCTCCATATTCAAGCTACGCGGTTTCTTTTATTTACGTTACTTCCCGTCTACATGCCAATATCTGTATTGTGCAAAATTGTAACCAATATTCCGCCGGGCTGCATTTTCCAATTCAGATCTCTGTCCAAGCCACGCATACATTTTCGCCGTATTAAAGCTTCTCATGCACAGCGCTCCGTTTCTTTTCTCTTCTTCGATAAACTCTTCACCAATTCACTGAGTATGCTTCTCAAACCTATTTCAAATCTAAGGTACATTATCTAGAATATAATAACTTCTCCATCTTTTAACAATATCACTTTTCAATATCACTATTGCTACATCCATCATACGATATATCCAATGATTTATAGGGTGTAGGTAGATAAATTGCAAACTCTATAAAACTCTTATTGTTAGACAAATAATTTGCGGCAGATAAAAGAAACTACATCCCGCTTTTCCTCTATTTACAACGGCAATCGTAAATTATTTAATATTGTTTACGTATCTTGAAGACATTTTCTATGAATATTTACTGCATGAAATGTTATCTTATTATATAAATTATAATCTCCTTTTAGATATTTAGATTATAATTTTGATGGAAATTTCTCTGTATTTAGGGACGAAAACTTTATTCATTTGGGCGCTGACCCATGTCAATACAGGTGATACGTGGATAATTACATTTGGTTTATACGTGCCTGTGAAAATGTAATGCTCTTTTGGCCGTAAAGCGTGTAACGTAAAACTACGAATCCCTTTTAGAGCCTTGCGCTAAGATATTTAACGAGTCCGGACTGCTTATTATTTCAACTAGGTTCGCGCTTCGCGTTCTTTCAGGTCTCCACATACGTATCTAGGTCATGTAGTTATAGCATAACTATAATGAAGCCTAAATATAATCGTCGATACGTTTGTCTGCCCCCGAAAAGCATCTGAAATTTTAGTTTATCGAAAGCAAGCCACCACGATATGATTCCAAAAATATTAGGAGTAAAAATAGAACGTTTATTGAAAGCAAACTTCCATATATGATTTCAAAAATATTAGGAATAAAAATGGGTCAAATTCAAAACATATAACTGATATCGTGTAACGCATTAATACTCGCGTTATTATTCCTCTTAGTCACGCATTGCCGTGTCTTGCATTACGGCCAATAAATGTTTCTAAACGGCTGCATTCGTGTAAATAACGCATTTACATTAATAATAGTGATAATTGGACGTATTTATCCACGCCCACTTGCCATTTGCATAATCGATATCGCAATCGCGATGACGTGGCTTAGGCTTAACGCGAAATTGCATTTCCGGCTTGTCAAACCCGTATGTACGTTCCGCTTGTGCCGTTCGCAGGTGCGCAGGGGGCTGCACAGGCTGCAGGACGCGCTGGCCCTGGTGGAGAAAAACACGCTGGGCCTGCAGACAAACTGCGCCTCGGTCGCCGAGGAGGTGGACGAGATTTATCGGAGGCTGAGCAAGGCTTTGAAAGACCGCACGGAACATCTGCGTAATGAGGTCGATCGATACCTCGGCACCGAGCTCAGAGGCCTGATTCAGCTCAAAGAGAATCTCGAATTGGAAATCGCGAATATCCAGAGCAACTGCGATCTGGCGGAGGCGCACATAAACGAAAACGTGCCGTGGGACGACGCCGAGCTCCTGGACACAAAGGAGCTCTTCCTGCGTACGGTGGAATTTATCAGGTTTGTCGCCCAATGTAATCTCCCTTTTCTTTTCGACGCCCGCTCGTTAAACCCCACACGCCCGTAGCCTCGTACAATTCATTATCGGCTATCTATTCTGCGATCTTTCCCCTCCCCTCCGCCCTTTTTTCACGACGTAGATCGGAAAAAATATCGTTAAATGAGCGGCTCCGTCTCCCCCGCGAGCTATTTTATTTCAATTTCGGATCCCGTATAGTGACGCTTCACCTCGATTCTATATCTATTTTGATTTAATGGCGCTCACGTTTCGTTTCAAAATTATCACAGTTGTTTTCTTTCTAACAGGATTGTTTATTGCAACCAAGTTTAAATAAAAGGGGGAAAAAATTGTATTTACAGTGTTTACTATTGAGCGAAAAAATATTTATTTTTCATGATAAAATGTATTATTTTCCTATCTCTCTGCAAAATACAATCGTTATGAAATTGACACGACCTCTCAGGCGTACCGCGACATAATAAATAAACATAAAACAGTAGGATAATAGCCGGTGCTTCGGAATAAAAAAAATATCGATTGTAATTTATTGAACGCTGTCGAGATGAATATGCCGATATTGGCAGCAGCCATATGAATTCCAGCGGAGATTTGTGATAATAGCATTGCGAGTACAGCGGAAATCCGGCGTTAGCTAATGTAATTAACGTTCAACATTACCACGCACACCATTATGAAATATGTAACGCGCGCAAAATCTGCCGTAAATCACAGACGCAAATCGCGCCGCGTAACAAAATTATACGCTCATTAACTCAAGTACAATAATCGTGTTAAGCATACGATAAAATGTTGAAGGGGCGCATATTTCATTTGTAGAAATGACTATACGTAAAATTGCGCGATCGCAATATCTCGATAAGATAATGCGCTTCGTCAGTAATTAACATCGCTGAATTAACGTTGCAATAAATTTTAGAAGCACGCATTCCCGTAGAACTTCGCGTATGCTGAATCGAGATGTAAAATTGTACAATTCTTTCCGATGCATTATTTAAATGGAACCGTCGCGCGCCGTGTCCAGATTTTAATTTCAGTCAAGTAGATGCACTTCGGCAGATCGTGCAGAAAATACCATTAGCGATGCAATTCCACTTTTTCAAATTATTTTTATATTCATATCAAACAATATATAAAACTGAAAGTACGCAAAGTTGACAATAAATACGCTAATTGGTATAAAAAATATTTTTACTCATAAAAATAATATATTACGAAGTGATAAAAAGATTGATAATTTCTATCGTAATTTCTTTCGACTTCACGCGGTAGAATCCGCGATATGATTGCGTTATCGATTTTGCAAAACTTAATTCGTTGAACCGTTAGCGGTCTGTCATATATCTCTCGGCGAATGAAGATGGACGATTGTTCTCTCCGCAGGAACTTCGAATACGAGGCGGGGGATTACAACCGACGAGTCCGCTTCGTGATGGCGCACGATCCGAATCAGCTTGTCCTTCACGTGGCGGGCTACGGCGAATTGAACATTAAACCGGAAAGCGGAAGCGGCGGATTGCTGGGGAGCTCCAGCAGTTTAGCCCCGCCGGTGGGCTCGCCCGGTCTTATGAGGAGTAAGAGCGATCACCGTCTCGCATCGCAGTACAGGCAGCAAGAGGAGGAACGACTGGCCAGGAATCGATACGTTCCCGAATACGAGTAACTATCGCCACTTCTTACGTCTCTCTTGCCGAGCGCCCCAAGTATCCCCGAGCATTATTTCTCTCATTGTCAGTATTAGCGGTGCTAATAAAATCAATCGCTTTCATTCACCGCAATTCTAAACATCGCGGGCCGTTTGTTTGCGGCAAATACGGATCGTTCTCTCGTGTTTTATTTCTTTCCATTATTGATTTCTTAAAGGACACTTTATTTATTTATTTTTTTTTATTGTATTTGTACCCTTGCCGTAAAACGATACTATACGTTTCTTGATATTGCAGCAGTAACATCGGCTTATAAAACGATATAAATTTTTCCGAAAGTAATATCATACATGTATGTGCTTCGTGGAGTTTGGGGAATACGGAATAACGGTTAGAGGCAGGGGAAGAGAAACCGTTCGGCAAATGGAAGGCTTTTTTCAGAAAAGCTACCTACGTAAGCTTCGATTTTAGACCAGTCTAAGTAGATTATAAAAATAAATGTCCAGATCGGGGAGACCATTTCTTCCGCTATTTATCAGTGAGATCAATTTGTCTCGGAGCCGGATTAAAAACTGCAAGACGGTCAGCGGGAGACGAGAGGTGTCCTTGGACGTCCCGATCGTCGGACGACCCGGAGGTCCGAGCGCTATTCCTTAATTTATGGCGCCTAGATTCAGTCTGTTTTCGAAACGATAAATCAGCCGTCGCGAAAATTCGCAGTCTTATTTACGAGACGGGAACGTGGCCGCGCTAATACGTCCGCCCGAGATGACCGTGAGATGAACAGTTTACGACTCTCGTATACGATTGCGACCGATATATTTCTTCGGGAAATCGAACCGTGTGTGGGGTAAAAGCGCTCGCGCAGGCACGCGCGCGACGTTTTATTGTTTATTGCTCTGCGAAAGTGTAACAGATCGGACCGATAATACGGGTACCGGTGGCTTTTTGCTGCTGCGAGGCGCCAGATAATGGAACGTATTAATATTCCGTTCGCGCAACGGCAGAAACGACGCAGGAATGCCATCAGATCGGCGCGCAACGATGATTGGTACGTGCCTGGCAAGTGTTTCTCGCAAGTCCGGGAGGGATGTATTTACGGTTGCGAATTAAACTAATCGGATTGATCGAGCGAGATATATATATATATATATATATATATATATATATATACTTTAACCCGTGCTTTTTTCGAACGGCCCTTAAAATTTCGAATTTTCAGGTTGACTTCGCTCGGATTTATAATTTCGCTAGCAAATCTTTATTGCACCCTTCGTAACGTGAATTATTCTCAAAATTACAATTTTCACGCGCGACATATTAAATAATACAAGTGTCCATTGCGACTATTAATTTTAACGACACACGGTTGCGATATAGGGAAAAATATTACGTTTTAATTATTATACGTTTCAATTCGTTTGATGAGAACATATATTTTGGCAGAAAATAATAATTTTAATCGATATAAAAAAGTTCCCAAATACCTTCATTAATATTTACATCTTAAATAAAGGCGCGCATTGAAATGACCACAAAACTCTCTCGCGTTTCAATATACTAAGTTTTTCCAATATACCAAGTTTACATATTACAGCGTCAAAAGTTTGCCGCAAAAGACTTTATAGTACTTTGGTGCATTGTCGAGTGAAAGTGCACTTTCTGAAATATACCTCACATGTTTATTCCGGCGTGAGTTATAAATACGCATGATTTCGGCATCTTCTCATTTTCCTCGCGTCTCTCTTTCGCTCTTTCTCTTTTTTTTTCTTCTCTTTCCTTCTATTCCGGATTCAAAGGTACCTTTAACTTGGAATAGACGCGTCGGGTTTAATTGCTGCCTGTTTCATGCAATGTCGGTCGTTAGAGCCTCTCGGCCGAGCCATTTTATTAAGCGGCCTCGTCAAAATGTAAATTAAATGCTTTAGGTACGCGCGAGCACGTACTTTTTAGTAATTAACGCTCTCGCGTATGCTGCAAAGACCCACTTCACATGCGAGAATCGCGACCGCCCCGTGCCGTCTGTATTTTGTTTGTTATATAATTACGGCAATCGTGATCGTTTTGTGCGATTATTAGAGAAAATACCATTATTTGCTGTGAAGGTCTCATCAATTTGTCGGTCGCGCGCGCTCGGGCCAGATATCGCCCGAATTGTAAATGAATCTCGTGCGATGCATTTTGACTGTCCGCGAAAACGTGCGCGCGCGCCGCGGTGTTTATTTTTGACACTTGCCTTGTGATATTCGAGTGAAAATTCCATTATTCGTGCTTTTTTCACAATACGTTCCGAAAAGCGCGCGGCGTTCCAATGGTTTCTCTTTTTTTTTTGCGTCGCGTGAAAGGCTGAAATATACAAACGGCCGTTATTGCCGTCGCATTTTCTGGCGTGTGTTCTTTGCCAGGGTTTTGGAGCGTGACAACGCCTGATATCGTATCACGGAAATATAGCTAAATGGTTAAGTGCCTAAAATCGATAATGGCCGACGATATTGCCAAATGTATAGTGCAAATGCAGATAGACGGATTAAAAAGTCAGGAAGAGATTTTATATGCAACGGCATACGTATGCATATACATGTTTCATCTGTACGTATTTTTATAATTGTAGCAAATAAAGAATTATACAATTAATGAGATTTAGAGTCACGTATTAAAATTTACTTTTATTAAGATCGTGATAATTTGTTTCTTATTTAATAATTCGATATAAATATTAATTTGACAATTTATCAATTAAAAATGGAATATTTTAACGTTTTAAATTATCTAAATTTGAAGATATTGTTGTTAAAAAAATGCTTTATTGTGTAAATTTTGTCGGTACGATATACCGAACTGTTGACAAAATTAATACTTTAAGAAACAGCCGTTGTTTGCTGAGGGATTCTTACAATTTTCCCTTAAAAATGCAAAACGTCAACTTTTTTAATAACTGCATCCCTCGGATCTAAAAGCGGTCAACTCTCAAAGCTCGCATCTAATTATTTATCTTTGGCTATCCGCTTCAGACGGATTTTATTGCAATCCGTGAACAAGATTACTTTTCACAGAGGATTTCGTGGAACGCGATATTGCATTTCCTCCAACGAATTGCTGACGTTTCAGGCTGACTTTGATTAAAAAAACTGATGCATCCTGATTTTTTTAGCGGTTTTCGACGAAGACCGTTATTGTATAGAGTGTGTATACACTCCTGTTTCGGAGGTCTACCTATTGATTTTTCGCTAGGCGTACAGCTAATCAACTGCCACCCAGTTCTCGTAAATCGATTCCTAAAGAGCATCGTTCGTTTTTTTCATGATTTACTGACAACAAAACAGAGAGAAAATACAGCATATACAGGATTTTCTAATTTTTATAATTGTAATTATTAGTATAACAACGCGTAATAAATCAATGTAATAAATTAAAGGTTTTTTTTTTGTTAAACGCAAAATTCAAACATGTTAATCTTTTTGTTAAATCTTTAAATACTTTTAATACCATAATCCCTTAGAATTAATTTTAATAAGTTAAACTCAATTAAATTCAATTCTAATCAATCAAATTCAATTAAAATTCAATTTTCAACTTACAATTCTTTAGTTAAATAATTTTTAGATGTATATTCTATCGCTGTTGGGATATTACGTATGGCGCTGTTACTGACAGCGTTCTTTGACGTTTAAAGGGTTAAAAGATAAGGGTGAAAATTCGGTAGGGCCTATCAGCGAGCTTTTGGGGGAATATCCGTGAAGATGATATGGGAGTAGAAGATGGAGAGATCCCCTAATATCATTTCGTCCTGTCATCGGCAATCCTCCGGAACGTCCTCTCGAATCGAAGTGAGATAATCTGACTATAAAGCAGGTCGCGTCTTCAGCTTAGGCAGAGCTTGTCATTGGGCCTTTCCCCCCCCCCTCTCCTTTGTCATAATTTCAAGTGACATATATCAGAGACACGTGTTCTTGCGAGATCTGCCTGCGAGAATGATAAGTTGTTATCCGTCTTCAGGGAGAAGAGAGAGACATTCGTTTTTTTTTTTATATTCACACGATCTAAGTTGATACTCGTGTCTGACCTTTGACTGACTTGATCTACTGTGTCCAATAATATCCAATATACAGCAGTCAACATCTTAGAGTCTTTTCTCATATAATCTACATCTGATGTTAAATAAGATGACAATATTAATGTCATTTATCAAAAATATTCACATTCGAAAGCATATTCGCTAGCATATTAACGGTGCAATATCTACTAAAGATTAATATAGTGACATATTTCATTCCAGATACGCTTCGATTCTTTGTTTCATCATTGCCGTAAAATCCTATTACAAATCATAAAAATTTTTAATTTGAAATCTTGACAAGAAATACCTATTTGTTTCTCGCGCGATAGAAAACAACTAGAATCATTCACTTCATATAATTTATCGATCCGCTTCCAATTTGCGAAAGTGGATTGTCAAATGGTCTAAGGAGAAATTACTGTCGGTGATTTCTCCAGAGCCAGAATCATTTTCTCGGCAACGGTCCCAATTAATCGACGTCGTTGCAGTACGCGTGTGTGTGTATGTGTGTGCCAGGTACGACGCGCCGGAGTACGAGGTGCCCAGGAACAAGGTGTCCAGGTATAGGAGTCGATTTATGCGGCATCGGGACGGCGACGATTCCGACGGTGACACCAGATCGACGGTGAGATTCACGTCGGCGCCTCAGGAGTCGTCCAGTCTACGGGAGCGCGTTTTGGACACGGAGGACGCCGCGCGCGGTCCGCTGTCCGGTATATTTCGTCTCACGGACTCGCCGCGGGTGATGAAGAAGCTGCAGGAGTGCGAGCGGGCCGGCAAGCGGAAGAAGGAGGAGCCGGCGAGTCAACCCATGCCGCAACCACAACCGCCTAAGCCACAGGTTAGAACAACAGTACGCTTCTGACGTTAAGGTCCCCAGAGCTAAAGTGGGTCAAGGTCGAAAATTCGGACTTAATTGCGCCTCCGTGATCTGAAAATTGATCGTAGATCTGTTGCAGATGAAATTTTGCAGAAAACCCGATCTGTTTTAGCTCTGAACTTAGTTCGTTAACTTGAAACTATGTATAGGAGATAGTTTATATAATACGTTACCCTTACAAGATACACCCTAGCTGCTATAATTGAGAACGATCAGAATATAAATTTAATATTAAGATAGGATTGCAAGTGATTGATTGTGAAAAAGAAAGTTAATCGGCTGCCTAATTTCGATTGAAGTAATAATATCGTTTTTTTGTACGAATTGCATTTATTAATACGGTGGTTTGTTAACAAGAATAATATAATTGCTGCATATGTATTTGGTAAGTATACATTCTATATATTTTTCTACTTCTGTGATAAATAATTGTCTGTCAAATAAAAAATTACTTGTCAAATGAAAATCGATACGTCAATATTATTATTAATGTAAATATTTAAAATTATAGTACGTCTTTGTTTAGCAATGCAGCTCGACAAAAAGTCTCGAAATAAAATATAACATATAACGCGCACGTTCCTGGTATAAAAAATTATATGTCATAAATATATACAGCTTTCGTTGCAAAAATTCAAGGTGACAGCGTAATCCAGATACATTTTTGTTATATGCATACGAAATATATTTTGATGCTATATATAAATTCTATATACATAGATATTAGATATAGGGCCTCTCTCAACCCTTCGTACATAAGCCATCTTAGGTCGCTCAGTTCTTATATTGGGATATCGATCTGCTTTCCTCTACGCTACAACTTCCATAAACATCCGCTGTTATGATAGGTTTCGCATTAAAAACGTGACTGTCCCTAGCGCAGCCCCATTATTTCGATAATGTGTACTCGAGCCGAAAAGTCTCTGCAAAAATTATAACGATGTAGATAACGCCGAAGAATATATGAACGCGGTTGTTGATAAGCTACACTGACACATTGCTTTACGCGTTTCGTGACGACAACAATTTCATAAAAATTCGCATCAATAGATCCGTACCAATCGATCAAATAATCCTCGACGGACATCCGTGTTTTTTTTTTATCGATGTAACACATGGTTACACCATTGACCCATTTGTTTTCCTCCCTCGACGTTCATATTTTAAATGTTGATGCAGCACGGAGCTCAGTTGATTGAATCGGACAATCGAGCAATCGTCCGGCATCTATATGCAAATCCGTTGGTCGGCGTAAACTTTTTTTTTTACGCCGAAAAATGTGCATTCTCTACAGAGATGCGTATCAGTGAATTTAATCGCCCGTTCCCTGCTTATCGATACACCGTATATCACCGCGTCCGTCGCATCAATATTTAAACGGCTAAACGTCGACGATACAGTCAATTTACGGTCACGAGTGTGTTCAATAAACGTTATTTAATTAGCCTTGCATGCACTTTTAGAAAACACACAGCAAAAAAAATATTACGGTCGCTGTAATTTGATGCAAACACACAGATATCAGTAATGCGCAAACGCAAAAATCTAAATCAATAAATCACATTAATGTCTTCATAAGACAAAGAATGTAACGCGATATTTTTCTGCACTTTCCTTCTTAATTTAATTTATAAGAATAGAATATTATACAGTAATATTAAATAATAATATAAATTCCTAATTTATATAAGAAATTTCGAAAAAAAAGTACAAATAATGTCATTATATTGAAAAAAGAAACCACGGATCTCTGATTTGTAAATCTTTGATATATGAGCTAACAATGAGTGATCGCATAATTAAATAATTAATTAATTAAGAACACGACTTGAGTGGGCGTTTGTGAATTTGACGACATCGTATTTATTTTTGACAGTGATACCTCCGCACTTTTGCGCAAGGAATCCCTTATTATGGCAGGAGAAATAAACGGATGGGCACGAAACTCTCCATGCTGACGGCCAGTGCAACGAACGAAATTTGTTCGATGTCGCGCATCCCATTGTTCGGATGATAGCGGCTGATGTCAAAAACGCTCAATGAACGTACAAACACAAATATTGAATACTCATACATGTAACGAGGATCGTTACCTCGGTCCACGATGATTTATATGAAATACTACACGTGACGACGAATGAGTGTCATTCCTGCGAATGCGGTCAACAAAGTGCCAATCATTATGTGAAATTATAATATACAGCGTTAATTTTCTATGATTTCGCGCATTACAGAGCAATAGAGCGATAACTGACAATACGTGTGATACGTGTGTACATAGATAGAATATTGACAGTAGATGATAGAGAGAAAGAGTAATATATCGAGTAATTTTGAATTGACTCACATCATCGAGCGTTGTATTTTGTATGAAATACTGCGAAATGTAAGATAACAATATAGCTGCAATTTTACACTTTTATTATTACGTTTTCATCATTACACACCACCCACTTAATCCCGTATCACGCACACCTGCTTATTACCGTCGCTATGCACTCGCGAGGGAGGGGGTGGAGCGAGGGGCGAGGGGGGGGGGCGAGACTCGCAGGGCGCATCGTGTAATTGCCGCGCCGATTCACGTATTCGCCACCTGTCGCGTACGTGCCATAACGTTGCATTTAAATGCACGTGCGGATTTCGCGGCCCCAATAAATCGCGCGGCGCATCGAGCGGCTGGCGCGAACGGACATCCCCGCTCCCCCTCTCCCGGATCGTAAACTCTCCCGTCCCCGGCGAGGGGAACGATATCCGGATTGCAAATCACGAAGGGAATTGAGCGAGGTTCGATCTGCGATTACACCGTGGCGGTACGTGGCGGTATACGCCGCAGTATATTCTCGCCATAAGTGATTTTTTGACGCGCAGGTACAAGTGAGAAAGGTATCGACCGCGGTGGCGAGACAGACCAGCGAGGACGACGAGATCTCGAGGATCAAGAAGCAGAACAAAAATGCCGCGGCGACCGCCGCCGTCCACGCGGAGACGGTGGAGGAGAGGCAGCCGACTTCGGCGCCGGCCCCCGTTCATCTGCCGTCACCGAGGGAGCTTCCGGAACGGGAACCCGAGGAGCAGCCGGTCAGGAGATCATCGGCCATCGCGAGGTAAACGAACGAAATTCTGTTTCAAACTTTATTATAAAAATTCTAGCGGCAAAGTTGATACGAGACAATTATTCATTTTATGCACTTAGGCGGTAGAAAGTTGTACGAAAAGTTAATAGATCCCGTAAAATATATGATCGCACGTATAATGGTTAATCAATTATATAAGTGGTGCAGGATGACTCTCCAATCAGAAATTAACATTGTCTTGGACGTCGTACCGAGATCGCGTTTAAAAAATGAAGACAGTCGCGGAGAGCATGGTGGAGAGCTCATTAAAACCACAAATTCACTCGATTCCGCGTGGCGAAAATTGTTTATTGAGACGGTAAATCAACACGGTCCCCCGAAGGAATGAAAGACCCGAAGATGTGTTTGCTCGCGTAGATATTAATCACGCCGGCGGTAACCGCGGGATTCGCAGTCAGCCAGAGCAGTACTCGCGTTATATCGGACTTAAGCGCGGAGTTCGCGGGCGCGACGTTGTTACGGCGCAAACAAGTAACTTGTTCGAGTTCTACGCTGCCGTTATTAACGTGCTTGTTTGTAATGTTGTTGCTCGGCACAGGAGAACTTCGGCGGAAACTCACGCTCCCCCCGCGGCCAGGAGTGCCTCGTCGGACTCGAGCACCGGCTCCGAGAGCTCGGCGGGATCCGGAATACGCAGTACGGGCGCGCCGTTCACGACCGAGGAGATGAAGCAGAAGTACCTGTCGAGGGCGCCTCCGACCAGCACGACGACCACAATCTCCACTACGACCGGCAGAGAGTCATCGAACACCGTCCCGCCGGCTCCCAGAGCGCCGTTTCAGAGCCGTTTTTTAGGCGCAGGTAATTAACCGTGCAATTGCTAATGCAATTCTTAAGAGCCTCGGAGTTTAAGTGTAAGACTGATAAATGATGGTGCGATAATGCTATTAAAAAGAATCACTTCTTTGATAGAGAAAGAAGTATTTCAAGTTTTTATTTGATGGAAATAAAGATTTCTTTTCGAGACGATATTTTGACAAATCTCATTGTAAACTCGAAAATTGGTAATTTCTTACTATTAACATAATGCAACAATAACATTGTTATGACCGATTCTTTCACCATTTGGAAACACTTTCCGCTGGAAGGACTTTCTCTAAATACCAAAAAGAGAAAACAATTGAAATTTAATAGGCGCACGTACCGCACAGGCGACATACCCAACAGAGTTACGTATAGAATTTATCTATACATGTTACAGCGGGAAAGGGAACAATGCGGCGAGTAGTAATCGAAGGGTTGACCCTTTTATCTACGTTCGTAGCTAGAAACCGTTCTATCCGCGACACGTCCCAATTTCGTTGTGCGCCTATTACCCATTGTTTATACGAGCAGAATCGAAAGCACGTCTCCGCTCGCTTCGTATACGCTAATCCCGCCTAGCGCATCTCTCTATTGTATTTCTCAGCACTCCGTCGAGAGAACCTCGCGAAAATTGGATGTACGGACAAATTTGCGTTTAACCTTCCGCCTCTATTTCGCGAGACTTAATTCGCGCGTAAAACTTCGCCGCTCCTCAGAAACGCCATAACAAACTTGAAACACATTTTCAGTATACAAATTTAACTAAAATGGTATGCTTTAAAATGCGCCAATATACCGCGCGGCAATCCAGAAGATTAATTAAATATTTGAATAAATAAATTCGCTTGAAATTCTTAGATACATTTTGATAAATAGATCGAAAATCGATTTTTTTTTTTTTTTAACGAACGGGCGGAATTAACAGGCAAACAGCGGGTTTGATGTAGAAGACGTTCCGTGTTCGATCACGAATGTCCGCGCTATGGTCTGTGATCACAATCGTCCTAATTCCGAATGCGAACGGTGTGCGTAAAGCACTGCTGTGCGGAATAACGCGTACAATCGTGCTTGCAACATTGCAATTCGAAAATGTAACCGCGAGCTTGGCGCGATATTCCAAGATTCGAAAGCCGAAATTGGCACCGACCAAGCATGGCGCGGCGCGGAGCAGCGGCGCGGAGTGGCGGCGCGGCGCGATAATTGCGTTATCCATTCAGCGCTCTTAGTTAACGCTGTCGCTCCGCTTTTCCGACGCTGTATCCCCCGACTGTCATATCTCCGCTTAAACTCTCCGCCACGCGTTAAGTCGGAGGCAACGTATTTCGCCGTAGGCGAGACACGGCGGGCGGACGTGGCGATATTCGCGTTACTACCTCTTGTTCCCGACCGCCGCGGTCGGTCGATACGATCGGTCCGCTTTCTCGTCGCGTTTCCGTCAACCGTGAACATGTAGACGATACGAAAGGGAAAAAACACTCCTCGTCCTGCACCTGAGATTCCATAAACGCACATTTCCATGCGCCGTGACAGGTCTTCGCTGCTTGTCGCTCGCCGTATCCCTTATTTTTATCTGTGACTTTACCGCTTAGCTCGACATTACGATATTTTCTTATATATTAAAGCCAAGTCTGATTTTCCTGTGAAATGCACAATAACCTCGATCATACGAAATGAAAAGAAATCTATAAAATATGTTTACTGAAGGAGCGTGAATGTTACTTTTTATCATCCATCGTTAATTACGAAGTGTAGGAAATTTATGCGTACAATATTAAAATTAAATTCTACAATTCCATCGAGATTAAAAATGGAAATCGCTGACGCGAATTTCCGGGTTTCCAGGTAACCGTGCGGCTCCACCGCCGCCGGTTCAGACGCCACGGGAGGAACCAGCGGCGAAGAAGAAGGAAGAGGAGGAGGATGAAGACGAAGAGACAAGCAGCTCTTCCGAGGAGACGGAGTCAGACACCGAGGAAGAGTCGGAAACGGACGGTCGTCCGGCCAAGACTACCCCAACCACGGCTTCCGCCACTTCTCAGGATCGTCAGAGAAGCGAATCCGCCATGGCCCGCACCGACATCGGACCTCTTCTCGCCCGCAGCGCCGAAGCTAGAAGAGGAAGCAAGGAAGATTCGCCTTCCACCAGGCAAGTTTCTCTATCACTTCTAAGAATGACTTTGTACGATAAGCGAGAGGGGCTTAATTCTCAACTAATATGATGACAAAAATGTTAACTTTGGTAAGAAAAATATCTTAAAAATATCTGAAACTTAGCGTGACTATTTTATCTATCATTTGCAAATAAAAAATAAATTGCATTGAGTTTTAACGTATGTAAGAGACAACATTTTTTATTTAAATTATAATTGATCTCATGTGGTAACAGTCACGTTATAGAAATTTACTCGTAGCAGTTGACGATTAATGCCTTTTCGAATCTTCACTGATTTATAGGTATTATTAAATATTATATAAATAAAACCTGTGCGCGCGATAAATAAAAAGCATGAACAGTTGAGGTATTAAAAAGATAAGAGAAGGTAAAGGAGATTTTCTCTCTGTCTCTCTCCTCTCAGTTCTTGATCCAAAATTCGATGTTGTCAGTTTGCACGTTTCGCTACTCGCAGAAACTCTATCGCGGAGCTTTCGTTCGTGTGTTACCATGTTTATTTGCGCTCGTTACGAAAGCGGCAGCATCGCGTACACGCATCCCGACGTTCTCTCGCGTCGCATTCGCAAGCATACGAATACGCTCGCGCTGAATTTCGAAGTGAGCTTACCCCACCCTCTCCCTCCCCCGTCCCCTTGACAGTCGCAATCCTCTTGCCCAGAACTGTGGCCCAAGGAAACGAGTGACGGCTGGGAAAACAGGGAGAGATCAGGCGAAAACCGTAAGTGCTCTCCCCCCGGCCCGACCCGACGGCTCCCTCCGGCTTTTGTAAAAGAATCACGTGGCCCGTTCCCCATCGCGCCCACTGCTATCAGAAACTTTCCACGTAGCGCTGTGGAAACTGATTAGCCGCTCAGTCTGGCGATGAATTGTAATACATTAGGGCGCGTAAATTCGGCCGCGAGCACGCGTTTGCACTCGAAAAGCGTGTGATTGAACGGTCAACTTTTCACCTGAAAAAAGTAATTAACTTTTATTTTTATTCACGTTTTAATTAATTGCTTGATTAAAATGTCGTTTGACATTTGAGCTTTCGGTCAAATTCGTTGTGCCGGAAACATAGGAAGACTGTTGTTCCAGTCTAACTACGTAGACGATTGACTGTTACATACTGAATATAAAGTGACATCGCCGTGTCGTCGTTTGCACAGAATATTTCTGACAGAACTGAAAATCAAATTAGTTAACTAGATGCTAAGTCAATTCGAGATGTATAGATCAAGATAAATACATACAGTATAAGATCATCGAAGCTCATTAATCGTGCAATCTCTCGCGTCTCAATTCCTAATGGAAGACGCGCGATGAGCCTCGCCTAACAGCCAGTGGCAGTTAGGAAATAAACGTGACCTTAATCTTAAAGAGAGAAAGATTATCGGCGCTGACGTGCGCCCGACGAGTTGCGTTCTCGAGGACCGGCAATCAGGCCGGCATCCCAAACCACCATCCCTTAGTAGTATAGTAGCCAGAAAGCCCACAGAATAAAGAGAGAAAATTCCGACCGATCACTCGTGTCTCAGGTATTCGTCGCCGAGGGGCAGCCCCGCGCAATCCGTGACGACGATGACGACGACGACGACGACGCCGAGCGGTGGCGGCGGCGGCGGCGGCGGCGGAGGTGGCGGCGGCGGCGCCGCGATGACGACGACGTCGACACCGGGCGGCTACACCAGCAGGTTCGTAGCGCACGTAGCTCACGGTCAAACGACTGCTCATGATGAGGCCACTTCTAATTCCAGTAACCCCCTCGACCGTGATCGTTTTAGGGCGTTTAGCGCGGACGGTACCGACGAGAGGTGCCCGGACGGTCGCGTCGACGACGGTAAAGTAATCGCGGCTACGCGGATCGCGGATTCCGCTTACGACGCCGACGCCGACGGAGACGCGCTTGAACCGCAGGCGACGAACGCTAGCTCGGCACAAACGGACGTTATTACGTTGGACAAATCGACCACCTCATCCACCTCCTCCCACCTCGCGATTAGCGAATCCGAAAGTCTCCTCGGGGACAGCCGCGGCGATAGACGAGTTGCGAGTGTGACAGCCGGGGACGAGGACGCGTTAGTGCAAGATCGTTCCGGGAATGAGGAGATCTCGTTGATAATCATCGATCGTAGCCGGGACGAATCTACTCTCGCGACTGAAGATGATCCCGATACGAGAAGAAGCGACACAGAAGAAGTGACGTCTGAAAAGCGCGACTTTGAAGACGCTCCTAATTTTCTCCGAATCGTCGTAGAGGACGTCGATGCGTCTGTCGCCGAGGAGCCTGTGCTGAATCCCGCGAATCGTCAAATCGTCGAGATGATTGACGAGCGCAGAGATCGCTCGAGGTCGAAAGAGTCGCACAGCGTTTCCGAATGTTCGAGTTCCGTCAGTGGACAAACGATATCCGATAGCGAATCGGAGGGTGATTCCGAAAGTGGCTCCGAGGAAGACGAGGAGGAAGACGAGTCTCGAGATGAAAATTGCAACGTGAAGAACGAAAAAAAGGAGAAGAACGATGGGAATGACATCGATAAAGATAGCGCGAAAAACGAGGCTAGCGAGGAGAATAAAGATTTCTCGAATTCCGAAAGTGACGAGGAAACCACGGTGCTGAGTATTAGCTCGAACACCCGAGGCGAGGGTAGCGTTACGCCTGACGACCGTTACGAGAGGGATTTGAAGCGCCGAAGTGCCTCGGTAATCGACGAGAGGAGCATCGAGGAGATGTTCGACGACAATGGCTGGGTGGTCACGGAGCAGGATCTCGAGCAGGATCTACCGACCGATCTGCGAACACAGGAGGTATCCACGATCCTGTTGGATTCTACGGTCGATCGCCCGTCTGAAGAGGCTGCCGTCTCTGTCGGCGACATCAACGACGCAACCGGGACGCATACCGAAGAAATTATTCCAAGAATCATCGAGGAGAGACACGACGAGATGTCTGGCAACCTCGAGGATTCCTCCATGCGGTCGAGCATCGTCGTTGACGACGTCGAGATGGCTCCCTCGAGCGAACCGCAAGGACCCGAGGCTCCGCCGAGAAGTCGCGTGTACAGACAGAGCAGTCTGGGTAAGAACGGATGGCTGATCTCCGACGAGTCCGAAAGCGAGTCCGACCGGGCGACCTCGCCGCCGATCGAAGCCTCCTCCGGGCGAGACGTCGCTAGAATCGGGTCCGCGAGCGAAGTGATGGGGATCAACGGGATCGAAGATAGCACGGGCGACATCGATGAGAACGGGTGGGTGATACTTGACGACGACGATGACGATGACGATAACGATGACGACGACGACGACGACGATGATTACAGCGACATCGATAAAGAGCTAGAGGATAGCAGCGCGCAGGAGACCGCGAGCACGACTCGTTCTCAAACGACCGACCTCGTAAACTCAAAAACTAACATTGAGAACAGTGCGTTAGTCGCGAACGCTACCACCCGGTCGAAGGGCACCGAACAGTCAGGGCCCGACGAGGAAACGTCCGATGACAGTATGAGTGTACCGATGCAAATGGTAACCACCGTCTTCTGTGTGTCCGTACTGTGTTACAGCGTTCTAACGAATCTGTTCCCCTAATCCGCCGAGTTCTCTCTCCCTGACGTTACGCAAATACGAGTCTCCTCCGGTTCCTCCCACATTTTCTCTCTGTCTCCCACGTCGTCTCGGTTTCGGCGTTGAAGATGAAAGACGTGGACTTTGCACGAGCTTATACGCAGAAATTGGGACGGGACTGTCTTGCCGCGAGTGACGACACAGCAGTTTTCCGAGGATATATTCACTCTCTTGTTTGCTCCACTGAAATATTAACTTCACGCTTAGATTACAATTAGACTTTTGCTCTGTTTTACGAGTTGTATAATTTGTAGAAATTTTGTAGGCTGTAAGATTTAATTTGTAGAAAAAGTTATAGCTTTTTAAATTGTTTGGCTCTTTTTATTACTTAACTGTAAGAGAAGAAAATAGTTCAAAAGTTATTACTAATTAATTATTTAACAAATTATGCGAGTATTAACGTATATCATTACACACACACCCGAATTCTGATTAATATCCAATTGATTCTAATCAGATTTTAATTAATTTTCGAAACTAAGCATCTCGGAATCAGAGATAAATCTCTAATCATGATAAATTAATCGTGGCGATCAATTAATAATTACGGCAGGAAATTTGGGGAAAACATAGTAACGGGAATGTAGAACGAATATATATGCATATTGGAAAAGACTGCTGCTCGAAACTCGCGCATCTTGCGTCTCCTCTGGCCGACGTCATCGGGGAAAAAAGGTACCGTCGGAGAATGTTCTTGAAACGTAGCTATCTGCCCGCGCTATGCACACGGTAAACCTGCATTTTCTATGTACATTGTGATAGTCGTAATTGACGGCCGAGCGCCATTGTTCCTACATTTGTCGATTCGCGAAAAGCGTCACCTCGACAGCTTCTTCGCGTTTCTTTCTTTTTTTTTTTGCCCCGCGCGTGCAAACGCACGCGCACGTGCGCGCCCCGCGTTATCGCGTTCGGCAGCGAGGCATTTTTGAACTTGCCGCTTACGCGTGTCGAGCTTCTAAAAACCAACGCATTCGAGAAAAAAAGAGGTAGAGACGCCGCACGTCGGCGTCGGCGGCGGACGATCCCTGACGGACGGCGGGTCAGCCGCCCCCGCACGCGCGTCGCGTTATCTATCATATAAGTTTTTGTACTCTCTCCTTATAGCGAATAGGCTTGCGTCACAGTTTGTCGGTGTGGTAAATAAACTGCATTTCTTTGTGATAACTCGTATTATTTATTTCCCTCTCAACCGTCCTCAGTATCGGCGCGCGATAACCAAGCACAAACTGTCGGGACCCGCCTGCAAATCTTGTTCGTAACTCCCGTTTTCTCCGTTTTTCTTTTTTCCCCGCTGACTGCCCCCTCTTCCTCTTGTCTCATCTTATATTCTCTCTCTGTTCCGAAATCTTCCATATTCTCGCGCTCCCCGATATCACGTTCACTATGTCCCGACTATGTCCCTATCCATATGTGTCATCATTGAAATACCAGAGAGCGGGATGCGATAAGTACGAGAAGAATGCATATTTATTTATTACACTAGCAGATTGTGCGCTAGGATCGTACACCATTATCGATCGGACGTCGATGGTCGGCAGATGGAGGCGGCAGTCCAGATTCGTCGTTTGTTTCGAGCGCGAGATTAATTTCATTTCATCATCAGAATGTTTCTCAAAAGCGAATATTTCCGTGGGCATATTTAAATCTCACGACGTAATAATTTGGATTTTACCGTGAGAGACCTCCTTTCTAATTTTTTATTTCTTTGAACGTATCACGATTTAATTAATTATTGTGCTGTACATGTAATTCCATTTTTCTAGCATTTGTAAAATATTGCAACAAGATAACAGACAGACATGAATGGCACTGTTGCGTTGCATAAAAATCACTTTTGAGATTCATTCTGAATGATTCATGAAATTCTTGCTAATCCGCGACATGATTATCTGTATATAAACAGATCTTTCACGCTTCTTTACATTGAACAGCGTTTCAGACACAAATTTTGACAATATTCGCACGATATTTTAAATCTGTGATATCAATTTTCTTAGCAACACACTCAACATGCGTGCATGCTCATTTCTGCTGAAACATTATCTCGAGAACATAATGTTCAAGTGGTAGAACATTGGATCGATTACAAGTAGGTACCATACAAGGGAAATGGATTGCCTTTGGATTATAGCGGAATTATTCTTCGGAAAATTCGCAACGAACTTAGAAACTCCATAGGAAAATCTGCACTTCACGGTACAATTACAACTTGTGTAACAAACTCGTTGCGGTTCTCCATTATATGCAATTCGGTCGCGCACTACGTTATTCTCACAGATAATAATTTGTTGTTTAAAATTAAAATATCAAACAGTTGTATAATCTTTAATTTCCATAATAATTAAAATATCATTTAGATTATAATTAATATATATTTGATATAAATTAGCTATATTTCCTAGGACAGCGACAGTTCCAACGATATTTAAAATTTTTATTTGTGACATTAACTTTATTATTATTATTATTATTATTATTATTATTTATTCCAAATGGAGATGGCGTCGTTTTTTTTCTCAAACTACAATAAAAATATGATCGAACTTCCCCAATGTAATCCCTACCACAAAAAATACACTAGCGCCGTCGAAAATGGATTATTGCATAATGTTAGGCGGTATTCTTAGCACGTTGCACACCCCTCCTCCCCTCACTCGCCGTTATAACGAATCGACACTGTCGAAACTTCGCAGCTCCTACACAGCCGTTTGGGAGAAATGTAGAACCATCGATCCACCGCCGCAATCTGATCTACCAGTTTCGTAAACTGGGAACTTCTTACTTCGTGACACGTCGGTGCTACCGATGCACTGGGACCCCGACCTAATACGGGCGAAATACGAACTTCGTTGAGGGGGGAAGGTTCAGTGCAAAGTCATACAAACCGGGCGCGCGATAAACTATGTTTATACCGAAGTTTGCGGACATTCATGAACTTTCTCAAATTCGAGCAAACCTACACAAACATTGTTTGACGCAAACCGAAAATTTCATCCGCATCGCGCCAGTTCACCCTACGCAACACTAACTTCGTATTCCCGGGATGTTAATTACAGTTTAATACAATGAGATTTACATTTCCTCCCCCCCCCCAGTTATTTGTGGTTAATCAGCAGTAATCATTTACATGAGCTGTTATTGTCTGTATACGATTAAAATGTTGTATATTAAATGTCGGAATATTTTTCGACCAAATGGAGAATTTTAACGAGATAAAATCTGGAGCAGAGCCGGAGCATTGCTTAAAATTGTTAATCTTAAATACTTTAATATCTTTAGCTCCTTCCAAATTTTCCGATTATATCTTGTAACATAGCAGCTCTAACATTTCCCGACGATAACGCTTACGAGAATAACGTGCATGACGTACGCCGATTAACTGAATCATAGTTAAAAACACTTATCTGCATATACTCACCGCAGTCATGTATACAGGATGTCTCACGAATCTATGATAAAAAGTGCGGCGCATCGGTGGTCCCCGATGGCTGCACTCCCCCATGGAGCTGGAATCGAATCAAATCAGTGGCCGCTTCGTAAGCATTAGATCTTTTTTTTCAAATCATAAAGAGCCGAAAGCGTCAAGCACCCGCTCAAATATCACGATCCGACAAGTGTAACGGCATCTTCTCTGCTGTAAATCGCTCACTGACGATAAACGCTTCCGGCAAGTGTACAGACCACACTTCAGACGCAATTAGCATAGAAATTAATTACGCTGATCTCCCAAGCTTATCTCATTGTTATCTCGTTGAATTAATACACTCGGAATGATTTTATGTAATAATAATAATTTTCCATATCTGTGTAATAATGCTGTACGAGAGATAAGAGGGGAAGGCTGCAGCTGGTATTACGCAAGGCATTACCTGTGTGCCCTCATTATTTGTCGTTTGTATGCGCTATGTAAAACCTATCAAAGTCAACTGGCATGACGTTAAAATCTCACGCGCCCGCACGTAAACTTTCTGTACAGCGCGACTCGAGACCGCAAGAATTTCGTACATATCGTGGACAATGGATAGATTCGCGCAGACAATCAAATGCAAATCTCGTTCTCTATAAGCTTAATCCCATAAACGAGATAGTGGTACCGGTACAAAGTCTACCAACATGTACATGGAAAGCAGTTAGCTCCTTAACTTCGTTACTCCGTTACCCCCTGCCTCTCCCTCCCTCCCTCCCTCCCGTATTCATTAGCGTATGCAATTTACGACACGCCCGTATTATTGTGTCTTTTAATATTCGCGTGCAACGCGCACGCCTCAGTTTCGCATAAATAGCGTTTCCCGCGGGCACGGCGCGCAAAATAAGTTTAATGTAGTACGCCTGCGTAATTGGTAAATACGTCATTTGTTATTTATACACGGCGTACTGCGGTTTAATCAGTACGGTACTAATACTAATTTCGCAAAATTATAATAATGACCACATAATTTTCGAGGAATTATTTCTGGCCAGCGCCGAGTATTTTTCTTTTCAGTGAATACATATATGTACCCCCTTTGTCTTCATAAACGTATGATAAAATTACCGTTAATAAATGCAGTTACCGCGATAATTGCCCCCCCCGCAAGCGAGGCATTTCTCTCGGCCATTTTTACATTGAATTTTTAAATTAGATCGCAATACAGTCGTATTGTTCACCCGTGTTTCGCCCGATAAGCGTTTTCGTTATACGATATTGCGTCCTTACACGTTTGCACACCGCGGCTTGCGCTACGCGGCACGTATGCACCCGAAATAGCCCGATGCGAGGTCTCACTCGAAAATACGATCGCAGAGATACCATTCGCTCTCACGATGGGTATCGTCTTTCCCGCGTGCGTGTCGGGGTCGGGACACTCTCGCGTACCCCTCCAATGTTTGGGGTGTGCGATTACCTGAGATCTACTCGAATTCAGCTTGAACGATCGCGGTCCACAGACCGAGCGAGAAAAGTCGGGCACTTGAGAGTAGTACGAAAATCCTCTCGGGAAAGTTGATCATCAGAAAATATGAAGAAACTGGAACGGCTGTATTGCTTGTACTTGCCGGTTGATATTTCGAAAATTCGAGAAATGCTCGGGTAATTCGAATATCCGCGCAAAAGACGCATTAACAAATAGTACTTTAGGAAATATAATGGAAAATTTAATTGTTGTTTTAACGTTTTTACAATTAACAACGAGTCCATTATGCTTCTCTGTTTCTCTGTAGATAGTACGTATTATCTAGCAAATACATGGTGCAAGAAGATAAAACGAGATTATATATTTATAATGCTCTTTTATCACTGCTTATCCCGTTGTATTTTACAACAATTACTTGTTGTAAATGTCATTGTTGTATTAAATGTATACGTGTCAAATGGAAGTTTGCTCTTGTATAAATAATATACTATGCGCCACAAAGAGTCCTTTACAGAATTTTAAACAACAACCTTTAAGTTAAAATCTGAAAAAAATTAAATTAATAATTTAAAAAAAAAAATTTTTGTTGTGAAAGCTGATTGTGATAAATAAATGTAGATTATTTTCTCAAAAACTGAAAAATCTTAAAATTATTTCTATATTTATATTGAAAGATATTTTTGCAAGAGTAAGGTAATTCCATCTCTCGCGATATTAACATAAAGAGAATAAACTCTTAGATGCAGATGAACTGAGCGCGCTGTACCTGATGTTTCAGATTCTTGAACAAGAGCAGGAGCCAGGCGGCGATGATGGCGTCTCGTGAACGGGAACGTGAACGCGAGCGCGAGCGCGAGCGGGATCGCGACCGCGAGCGGGAGCGTGAGCGTGAGCGGGAGCGCGATCGGGACGTGGATGCGGAGCTCGACTCGCCCTTGTCGACGAGATCGCGCTACGCGGCTCTGAAGGAGCGCCGACAACGCCTGGCCCGTTCCAGGAGCTCGCACAACTTCGGCGGCGACGACATCGACCTGGACGAGGAACCACCATCGCCGACGACCCAGTCGCCGAACGCCTACCTGGCGGCGAAGTACGGCGCCGGATCCGAGCTGGCGCGGAGTCGCAGCACCCACGCCCTGAAGTCGAGGGAGCCGAGCCCGGAGCGTGATCGACCGGGCGCGGAGAAGGACGGCGCGGCCTTAAGCTCCTGGGCCAGATACCTCAAGAACAAATACGGCAACCGCACCACCAAGGACAAGGAACCGCCCTCCTCGTCCTCCACGATACCTTCGTCCAGGTGGGTGACGGGAATTTTTAATGAATAAACGCGCGGAGCGCAGCGTGGGGAAAAACCGAGAGAGCGATCCCGAACTTCGAAATTTGTCAGAGCTTCATGATGTTTATCGTAAATATTTGAATGACGAAGCCTCCACACGTACGACTGTAATTAATTGTCTATTTTCCACATAATGAATATAAATTACGAGTCATATTGCAAATAGTGCAACATACAATCACGTATAGTATCAATAAAGCCTTAATCGCATTGTATGCACAATGGTTCAGAATATTACGCACGCTGCACTTCATCGAATCAATATAGGCACATCATATTTATTATACAGAGATCACATCAATGCGCTAGCTTAACGCATCGTGACTGGCTTAACGCTGTTTATGAAAGAAACGAAATAGCGATCCGATTATATATTCGTAATTAATTATATCCAATTATAATTTCATAATGCCGAAATAATTACAGCACCAGCGCGGCTTCGCGAAGGTTGTCGTTGGGCTTGCCTCTCAGGCACGGCGGGCAAGCATCCTTCGAATCTTCTGACGACGACCAAAAAAACCCGTCAGGCTCCCCCACGTCCCCTACAGCAGCTCCCGTTACACTCGCGGCAGCAGGTTCCTCCACTAGGTGAGTCTTAATTTTATTACGTTACATAACTGCATATAGAGGGGGGTGACATAAAGACGCATCTCAAGCAGCTGCTTATATAAAATAGTAGTTGCATAAACGACAACGCGGAAAAAAAAATAAAAAAAATTGATAGACAAGACAATACCCGAGAATTCTGGCGTCTCAATTTTTTTTCTTTACAGCATTACAAATCTTTTCTTGAAAGTTTACGAATGAAAGTGTGCCGCACGTGAGATATCCAATTTAGGAAATGTCTGAATACGAGCCGCGAAGTTCCACCCGATTTTCCTTATTCGGCGAAGTCTGGGCCCTGGAAAGAGAGGGAAGAAGCAAGTTTCCCGAAGTTTATAGAAAGGATGGGATGCACTACCTGTTAGAAAGAACGCATGAGACTTTCTAAATATGCCACGGGCGAGCGTGCGCGTGCTTGAACCTGGGCGAGATCCGTCGGATGCGGCGTGTGGAGCCCCAGCCATTGCAATCAAAACACTTTATCCTCGTTATCCGCTGCGTTGCAGCTCTCTCTCTCTCTCTCTCTCTCTCTCTCTCTCTCTTTCTCTTTCTTTCTTTCTCTCTCCGGGACTTCTCGCGCAGCCATAATTCTCGAAGATCTACCGCTGTTTCCGCCGGAGTGAAACATCGCGTCTCTCTTGAAAAGTGGATTTACGAAAAACATTCCTCTAAGAACAGCGGCGCACAATGAAGATACAGAGCTCTACTATATCCGAGTTTGCTTCTTTCTCTTCCTCCGCCGCTCTCTCTTTCTCTCTCCGACTGCGCTCGCTCCGCAAACTTTTCTTAACACAATAGGGTTTCGGGAGTTGTATCAGATGAAGAATAATTGCGTTCATCACGTTCGCGCGTAACCGCATGATTAACCACGCGGTCGGGCGGACAATCCCTCGGAGAGATCCATAATCGTCTGGAAGATTGGGAGATCTCCGCGTAATGAGCTTTACTGACCGCTCCGTTAATTGTTTCCAGCAATGGTCGGAGGAGTCATTACTTGCTGAAGCGACGGCAGCTGTTTAAGTTCGGGATGCGGGGGAGCGAAGCCGGATGCTTTACCTTTCCTAGAGGCCTCGCAGTCGGTCCGGACAACTCTATCGTCGTGGCCGACAGCTCCAATCATCGTGTTCAAGTAAGCTATTCATACTAATTTCAAAATCGGCTTTCCAACTTGACTCACATTTAAACGCAACATCAAATGCGAAAAGTGAAATTATTTGAGGTCAAAACATCAGGTCAAATGACGTAACAAACTTCCAACGATGAAGCTATTAGTTATTTTAAAAAAAATTGATAAAAAATTACATTGGTTTTAAAAAAAGTGTAATTTTGAAAGATGAATTATTTTGCCCGCGCGTAGTAATCTGTCGAATTCAATATTGACAGCACGTGTGCCTCGATAAATCAATCCGCGTCGCTTAAAGTAATAATAGTTAACCCGATATGGGCGCGTAAAGCTAAAGCACGGAGCCTTCAGAATTTTACGGGCGCCCACATAGTATCGACGACCGTAAATAAGGTACGGGAGAAAATTTCTCGTCCCTGGTTATTGCGGTCGGCCGCGAGCCGATTTTAATATCGGTCCTCGGTGTAAACGACCCGTGCGCCGTTTGGTTCCGCAGGTATTCGACGGTAATGGGAACTTAATAAAGGAGTTCGGAACGTACGGCAGCGGCGAGGGCGAGTTCGATTGCCTCGCCGGGGTGGCCGTAAACCGGATCGGGCAGTACATCATCGCGGACCGCTACAACCACAGGATCCAGGTGCTCGATCCGTCCGGCCGCTTTCTGCGGGCCTTCGGCTCCCAGGGCACTGCCGACGGCCGATTCAATTATCCATGGGGCATCACCACCGACGCCCTCGGATTCATCTACGTATGCGACAAGGAGAATCATCGCGTGCAGGTGCGTGCCCTAATCCCGCAAAGCTAATCAAACAACTCGACAAACAAATCAGATGATTATTTTATAGAACGTTGATTGACGTAAAATTTTATTTTACTCGCTCGAATATTTTCTCGATAGTTACATAAAATATATCCCCAGACAACATAAAGTCCAAAATCAGGACATAAGACTATCTCTAAGACGTCTTTTAAAGGTCTTTCAAAGTTTCTCGCGAAAATGTCTTTAAGACGTTTTATGCCCCAATTTCGGACTTTATGTAATATGTTGTCTAGGTCAGATAAGATGAAATCGCAGACAGCGAGGAGAGATAGGCTTAGCAAATTTCGATGTTCTGTCTCGTTAAATGCATTTGGTAAAAGCACTACACTCTCTCTTAAGCCAGCTTTAATACCATTATCTGACCACTTCGGAATATCCGATTGTTCGCAGGTATTTCAATCAGACGGCACGTTCGTGGGTAAGTTCGGCTCGTGCGGTAGCGGACGCGGTCAGTTAGAACACCCGCACTACATCGCGGTGAGCAACACCAATCGGGTGATTGTCAGCGACGGCAACAATCACCGTATCCAGATATTCGACGTGAACGGCCGCGTATTGTCGTCCTTCGGCTCGGAGGGCTCGGACGAGGGTCAGTTCAAGTTCCCGCGAGGCGTCGCCGTGGACGATCAGGGCTACATCATCGTCGCCGACTCCGGCAATAACCGCATACAGATCTTCAGCCCCGACGGCACCTTCCTCAAGGCCTTCGGCTGCTGGGGCATCGGCGACGGCGAATTCAAAAGCCTCGAGGGCGTCGCCGTCACCTCCACCGGGAACATCGTCGTATGCGACCGCGAGAATCACCGAGTCCAAGTATTCTGAGTTCGTCAAGTACGTTGATTATTTGGTTTCATTTAATGCCAAAAGAGCTTTTTTATCAAACGAGTACCTACGTTGTTGATCGATATATTCGCGTTTATTAATATTGTTAATGATGAGCGAATATTCAGAAAATGGACAACGCCGCATATTTGGATAGAAGAGTGTATCGACATCTACGAGTCGGAATAAATATCTGCGGAGTCGAGTTTCAATAATTTCGAATAGCTTTTTCGCACCGACTTTTTATCTGAAATCTCTAACGAATAGCAAAGCTCGAAATTGAAAAAAGAAGTAGAAAGAAATAGGAAAAGGAAATAAGATATGAAAAATAACTTATGGAGGGTAAATTATTTTAATTTTATATTGATATATAACGGTTTGAAAAATATACTTCAATATCGGATTTTTTAATTTAGTGATTTTTAATAACAACATTCTGTAAACATGTCTTGTCTCTAGGTTTGTTTCTAAATTGAATGTGAAATATCATTACAGCCAGTTTTATTCGTTTATCATAAATATTAACGTAGACATTTTTTCTATTTACTACTCGTAATTGGAAAACCTTTTTATAAAATTTGTTATAATTTATTTCACTCTTTGTTGCCCAGAAAGCGACTTTCGTTATCTGAACGTAATAAATTCATCACATTTGTAGTTTCTGCCTAACGAAATGACGGAGCACGAAAATAGTCTTTGCAAAAAATGATAACTTTCGCTCCTCTCCATGAATAAAAGAAAATCCATCGTCATAAAAACGAAAACAGTTATTTGCCTCGGATTGCACTGTAAATAATTAATAACTTTGATGTGCGTAAAATTCTGAATTTAATTTTTTGGTTCTCGCTGAAACTAAATTCATATTAACAAAAAAATTTGTCATAACTAATATTATTTTTACGCAGAGATGAATCTATTATCAAGTGAATCATTTAAAGCGCGCAAATTTTGATTATTTATTCTCTTTCTATTTTTCTTGTTTTGCGACCATTCGAGCCGCTAGCAGCGTAGAATTCGCGAAATAAAAAATGATACGCGTTTTCTGTTTCGAGCTAATTTCTTTAATATCAAAATTTTCCGAACGAAGCCAGTCTCAACGCTCCCGCGTTTCTAGTTGCGAAACACGTAGATCTGCCATTGCTTTTCCGCGGTTTACCGCGATCGTTCCTCGTGTCACTTTGACGAATATTGGAATTCATATACTCGGTGCACGACACGATATAGGATGAAAGAAATATCGGAACGGACGGAATGGCAGAGAGAAAAGCCTGAAAAGAATATAAAAAAAATAGAACAGCAATCGTATCGACGAGCGCGTGAATAGAATCGCGCCGCTCGCTCGGCGGCGAGCGGTCCGAATTCTCGGGGAAAATCTTGGACGCCCCCGGTCGATTCTCCGTACGGCAGCTTCGAAAAATACACACACGGTTCGTGTGTTTGCCTTTTCGTCCCTGTCTATCTTACACTCCCGCTATCTCTCCCGCCTGTCTCTCTCTCTCCTTCTCGTACACGCAAGATATCCGAGCGACTTAATTTAATTTATATGCAAAGTGACAGCAAATAAAGTTTGTACCGTTTGTATGCTTTAAATAAACTGTTGCGGAAAAGGAAGACGGTAAGTTTTTTTCTGAACCACTCGCCTCTTGGTCTTCGAGATATGTGTATCTATGTGTACTATTCCGTTGCGTTCTCTCCGTGAAACAACTTCGGACATTAGATAAAGCGAGAAAGGATTATTACTTTTGCACTATGAATACGATCGTTAAATTTAGCGGTCTCGCGAAGTCTCGGTTCGGCACTCCACTCGGAGAGAGATGGAACTGAAAGTTTGTCGTAGCGTTCAATAGAAGCTCTACAAGCAACTTCTCTCCGACGTATCCTAAGATCATTATTTGTCCGGATATTCCTTAACTTGCCGTAATTGCATTACTCGCCATGTCCCGGTCCACGCAGCTACAATATCCGGGCATTCATATAAAATCAGCTCTCGAATTATTTTATTATGGATTAATTAACTAAGGCAATTGCTCACTCAGCGTAATCTAGCACTTTGACTGTTCTTCTACTTTCCGAGAATTTTTTAACAAAATATATAATTATCCCCGTAATTTAATAATCTATTATGCCAAGACCGTCCTTTCTTGTTTGTAAATCTTCTGAAACTTAAAATTACCTGAACATTGGCGATAATTATCGAAGTTTTGACAGTGTCATCTAAACGTTTTGAAGAAGAGTTTACAAGAAAAGTAAATAAATCAGGAAGTCAGGTGGACAAGAGTGAGAAGGTGAGTAGGGCAAATGAAAAGTAAGTGTGAGTCAATAAATATATAATTTATTAAATGCAATGTGATGAAATGTGGTGTAACAATAGAGGGGCGGGCGAAACGACGACCGTTAGCGATCGCCGCGAAGGCGGACAAGAGATAATACGCCACCCCCGCCCGGCGCCCCCCCGGAGATCGGAAATATAGATAAAATATTTTCGTTATTATTTACAATATTAGTCGAACGTTAGTCAATAAATAATAAACAGTGGCATAATCCCTTTATTTAATAATATAATTTAATTATATATATATATATATTTATATATATAATATTACGCTTGCGATAATAAAAATATTACAAGAGATGGAGCCTTTACCGTTATTCGTTTCCGCTAGTAAAATTGTCTAGCACGTATGTGCCACATCTACGCGTCGTCCCCGTTCCGAAACTTACTGATTTCGAGTACTCGATCTCGGGGTGTACTCGATCCCTTGTCAGGCGATTACGCAGCAACGCGTGAGAGGATCGAAGCTCTGCACGATCGCCCGAATTTCGAAACGCGGAAACGCCAGGAGCGGATTGATGTCGAAACAGCCGTCGAAACCATCATCAACATTCCGGGAAAATCGCGCTCATACTCTCACTCTCTCAGTCTCTCTTTCTCTCACACACTCTCTTTCTCTCCCTCTCTTTCTTTCTCCCTATCGCGAAAAAATTCGACGACGGGACTGAACAACAAATGGCAAATCAGCTCGGTTCTCGACGTACGCGGAGAAATGATTTTTTCGCAACGCGTCAGATTATCACAACGAAAGTACACGCGACATGCTTGGACGTTATCAATCGTCGAGCGGAGTAAAAAGGCTGTGGGTGCGTGTATGTGTGTCCTCTGTATGTGTTTTTTTTTCATTTTCTTTTTTTGTATATGTTTGTATATATGGTAACATGTGAACGCCGCCACGCGAGACTGGAGAGTTGTGTCGTGTGTAGGATCAGGCAGGCAGCAAGCAGGTACAAAGTGACCGTCGCGACGAAGGAACCAACGTATCTTTGGGTCTCTGTAATACTTCGTGTCTCTGTGGTTTATTTCGTGTAAATTCTGTGTTTCGTAATATAATACTGTGTGTTTTCTCGTGTGTACCTGGTATCCCCGGTGTCTGTACGAACATATGATAGACACCGACCCCCCGATCGTTTCGACCCTTTCGACATCGTGACGCGTGCAACGCGCGCAGTCGGGCGGCCGCGCCGCGTGTTCGCGCGATCGCGAGCCCGTGCCCCGCCGCGCCGTGCTCTGCTGCTACGCGTCGCCGTTGTGTGACAAACGCCGGATAATCGTGTCGAATTTTTCGGCTTTTCTTTTTCTTTTTTTTTTTTCATTTTGTAAAAAATATACGCAAGAGTTTCCGTGAGAGAAAGATATATATATGTATATATATATATATATATCGGTGATGTCCGAGCCGGTGTCGGAACCGCGTCCGCTTCGGCGATCGCGCGCTCGCGAGCCTCGAAACCGCGATATCCCGTGCGCTTCCCGACACGCCGAAGTGTAACTTCCGGTTCGCGACGTCCGGAACTCGCCCTTTCGTACTCCCCCGTGATTCCGGAGGGGGATCATACGCGAGTCTCGAAACACGATTTTCGCGGTAGGGCCGCGACGAGATCCCGGCGGACTCGCGACAGCAGCGGAAACCGCAACGGGCAAGCCTCGCATAAACGCGCGTGTATCTCGTGCGATTCTGGAGAAATGGACAATTGGAAATATATATCTCGAATCTATAGCTCGAATCTCGGTCGTTTCTGATTTTTTTTTTTTAGGAGAAGAATTAATTCCTGTTAGTTTTAATCTTGTTTTTAGTAGTCCGCTATTAAATATACCTACTGATTCGTCTCTGCATCTAGAGAGTAGTTTGAAAAGTGGCATGAGATAGAGTGTGTTATAGATTTCTTTCTTTTTTTTTCCATTATTTCCCATCTGTTGTATCGAGATTAATTGAGTAATAAAGTTATAATTATTTATTTAATTAATTAAAGTGGCAGCAGTTAGGCCATGCGGCTCCTATCATCTAGTCGTCTTTGACTCTTGGCTTCCTTACGTAGAATTTAAAAATTTTTTTTTCTCCTTTACTTATTAAACTTCTTTATATTTTGAGAATAATTTGTATTATAAATGACTTTTAAAGTTTATGTATTCATTCGAAGCGCCTATCCTAGCGATGTCTTTTTAATTAAAATTACTCTTTTTCTCAGCGGTCACCTCCCCTTCAACTCGTCCCCATTCACCGTCCCGTCTCTCAGCCCTCGGTCTAACTAGTATACCCTTCGCCCAGCTTGCCCTCGGTGTATAACGTGGTTAATTATGCAATGAATGTGTGGAGCAACGGCGAAACTTCGGAAATCTCGCGCGGTGTCGGCCATTCCCTGTCCGCCGTTCCGCGGGTAAAAAATATTGTATTCGACTTGTCTTGCGCAGACACCCCGGTGAAAAGCGGTACAAGTGTGCACCCCGTCCTCGGTTGCGTGAGATTGCGCCGAGGACTTCGTCCCTCCGCCGAGACCGCGCGCGCGCGCGTGCCGTCTTTCTTCGTTATCTCTTAAATTCGGAATCCTGATTGCCACGCATAACGACAAGCCCGACTAACTAGAATTATCCCTAACTTGAGACTTTATTCATCATCCTTATCATCGTCGTTATCGTTAACGCTTCTCGTGCCCGCTACGTTTATAATCGCTAGCCCTCGTTTATTTAGATTCTTAAATATGTAATAAGCAAAAATATGAATATATATAATAATAGTTTTTCTTGTGTATATAATAATTATTATTATTTTACTCATTTTTTTTTAAGTATTTCGATAGGATCGTGATTATTTTAATTAATTAACAATGATTAAAAGAGTGTAAGAATTTGTTATCTTCCCTCCTTTCCTTCCTTCCTTCCTTCCCTCCTCCCGTCCTTATCTCGCTTCCCTCGCACGTCACATCTCCCTTTTTAATAACTAATAACCCTTTAAGCTTAATGGCATGAAAATGCTCGTTGGAATTGACTCATGTGTACAATATATATTGTGGTAATACCCCATCTCGCGCTCCGCAATTACGTCGCGTTCCATTAGATCTCACAACCCGCTGTGAGTCTGCGAAACACACCCCGAGGGGAGAGGGTCGATATGGATTGACTTACTGTCTCAAGGAAATTCGGTAATTCGAAAATCCGCAGCACCCTTTTTCCTTACATCTTACGACGCGCGGTATCGACACACATTACTCCCCCGACAGATCCCGCACGGCGTAATATCGGCTCGCAATTTTATCTCTCAGATCTCTTCATTCGTCTGTCTGTCTATCTCCTCTCTCTCTCTCTCTCTCTCTCACTCTCTTTTTCTCTGTCGCCATTTCTCTTTTTCACACCTCAGCGAGAGCTCCCGCGTGCGGTAACACGCACACAGGGACGTACATACGTCGGAGACACGTGGATTCTTTATCTCCGTCTCCCCTTGTCCCGTTGCGCGGAAATACTTTCTTGGATCACCATTTAATTTATCACAATAGACGTTTGTCCACCCGATCAAAGCTTTGAACGCCGGGACAATTCACGCCCTTCGCGCGCCGTGCAATCGCGCGCGACCGCGTGCGCGTCCGCATTCAACTACGCCCTTAATTTTACCGCTAATTATATCTTTACGCTAGAGAACCTTTAAAAAAATCCCCTATCGGAGAGAGAAACGGTAGGTAGTTTTTTGTAACAATGTGTAATCGACTAGCTTACGTTCTAAAAAGTAACTCTACGAAGTTGATTATACTGTGACTAGCACAGCCCGTGGATGAAATTGCACCCTTTGGACGAAGGGCCCGTTCATTTTTTTTTTCTTTTTTTTCTCTCTTTTTTTCTTTTAAGTCTCCTGTAATAATTCCTTCCCCTTTGTGCTCTCTCCTCGCTCCGTTTCCCACTCTTTTCTCTCATTCACTCCCTCTAAAGTTTTCTAAAATCAAAGTACAGCCCTCTTCGTTCACTTTGCGTCTCTTAAGCAAACCGTACACGAAAGAGACCGTTTCTGCCACATGATGAACGACAATAGGTTCTCATCTAATTATGTACAGTGGATTCTGGATGCTGCGCTATCAGATTTGCGCTAAATGATAGGAATGTGGTGCGCCCAGCTTCGCGTATCGATTAAATTTAACTACGCTTCTTGTAAAAATATAGATAATAAAACCGATTGAAATAAAAAAAAAATCTAGTTTCGTAAAGCATTAATATTCTGAGTCTCAACTCAGAATTTCACCTTTGCCTGTTTGCAAGACTTATCTTATTAAAATCGTTAAAATGTAACTCGTTACTACTTTTAAAATCAATTTCACACCGCTCCTGCGTGTTCTGATTGTTCAATCATTCATTAATTTAATTAGTGTCTATTAGCGTCAGTTAAACCCAAAATCCATGAATAAAAAAGAAACAATTATACGAAAAAGTTCAAATACAAAGATTCTCGCATGAACTTAAAATAAATCTCTTTCGATCGAGATTATCTTCTATTTTTTTCTTCGCAGACGCTATCCCTCCTCGATACGGTCCTAGCCGCAGTTTCGTCTAAATCGATTAGAATTGTAAATGTAGGAGCAAAAATCGATGAGAACGTATCGTAAACAAGAGTGGAAAATATTAGTTGTTTGCTACGCAAATAAGATTATATGGTGCATGTAATCATGTCAAAAAAATAAACAATAATCTCTACACAAATACTTTTTTGTTGTAAAAATAGTAAAATTACGTCGATATGAAAAGTACGATACTAATGACACAAGTCGACAGAATTCTCATTTTTAGATAAAAAGAAATCTTTAACTAATTTTTATATCTTATTTCTAATGTTTCAAAAATTTAAAAATTACGATACCGAGATTTATTAAATTAAATTGTGAAATGTGAAAATAATATAAATTGCAATTAAAAACGATCGCTACATTTTATCATGCTACAATTTTCAGAATTCATATAATCAGTTTACGCGGTTTTCGTCTTCAAAAAGATTTCAAATCCGATCGACCGGTGTCATCAAAGGAGAAATATGTTTATTTACAAAGAGCCTCGAGAGTCGAAGAAATATTTCTCGTTTTAAAAGGACCTGCAAAAGTTCCGTAGAATCTGCCAGCGGCAGATTCGAACTACTTGAATCTACATAAGCGACAACGATTTTGTGCGATTCCAGCTCGGTGCACACAAGGATTTAATAAAAAGTATCACGGGAACGGCTCGTCAACTTCGATGTTGTCGCGATGTAGTAGTAAAGTATCAACGTATGTGTCGGACCAAGCGGTTCTCGTACTCCTGAGGAGACACGGTACGCTAGATACATATGTATATATCTTACATGTTAAGCGAAAGGAGGAAACTGTATTCTACAAGCTTTTCCTCAGTCAGATCGATCTCGTATAGATTTTTTTTTTTTCAGCAGCAAACCCACTTACGATAGGTTCGCCCGTTTGCTGCTACTCCAAGTACTCGTTCGAGGAGGTTGCAGGGAGTGCGATAATAGCAGTAAAATACAAGCAAAATAAACTAGCGAACGAGAATGAGACGCGGTGTTAACTCAATAGCGAGAGGCGAAAGATAGATTTGAAAGAGATAGGTATTAAAGACTTGACGTTTTGGTCAACCATTCGGGTACGCAAAAATCAGAGACGCAGAGAACAAAACCGTATATCATCCGTGTCGTACGTCCGGTACCCTCTCGTAGTAGTCATAGTCGCCGTTAACGGCGACTCGCATACTCCCTCAGGGCGTCGCGACGGCCGATCCGGGGCTCCCGTTCACCAAACGACTCTCGTCTCACCGGCCGTGTTATTTCGCTGCCGAGCTGTCGTTACCGCTGCACCGCGTGTCGTTGGACTGACAGTCGACTAGGTGACCCCCGGGCTGGCGGCTACTAGGCTGGCCCCTGGGCTAGATGAGAGCGAGCTTTGGGGGACAGCAGCCGCCCGTGAAATGACCGCTGGCGGCCTCCCGCTCCCGTTTGCGACGGCCTTGGCGTTCTGCAGTCTGATTCAGAGCAGAAACGTGTACGCTTTATATAAAAACACGCATCGCCCGTGCACGCGTGAATGCACACGTGACACCGTATGATCAGGCAGTATATACCGGAAGGCAAACAAACGCATATCTATAAGCGCTCCTCGTAACACTTTGCGGTAACTCGTTGACGTAACGCATTAACCGAACAATATTAATTCATTAAAAATCACATTTTTCGAATATTATTTGACAAATGTGTCTATTTTTTTTCTAAATGAAAATAATAAGTGTACATAATACGTGCATTAAAATTATTTCTAAATTAATAGATGTCTAAATTAAAAATTTTTTTCGCTCTATGAATATAAGAATATTTATTATTAAAAGTGAATATATAAATATTAATTCTGATACCTTACGGAAATATATATAAATTATCTAAAATTAAAATATATACGACAGATGCAACAAAATACAAATCTCTCGTTTTTCAGTTGTTCTATATATTTAAACATGCAATACATTTAATGTATCCGTCTACGAGTTATTGGCAAAATGATTAGCAATTCTACGTCGTTAAGCGACGATTTTGTTATACAAAGACACAAAATATATATCGAGACATTCAAACAATAAACACGAAACATCGTCAAATAATGAGGTACGACATGATACGTATCTAGTTTCCGGTATATAGACGTATAACTCGTTAATTCGTGTGTCATGAAACAGAGTGCAGATTGAGAGAGGGAGAGAGAGAGAAAGAGATACAAACGAGCACAGTTTTGCCGAAACAATCACCCTATTATGAGATCTTTACTTACCGGTCGTGAATCGTCCCACGACAAGCTGCATTAGTGACACACAGAAGAGGGAGACTTTAGAACTTTTACACTTTGTCTTTTTCGTATTTTTCAGTACGATAAAAAGCCTTTCGTGTGCTAACAAGAAGTCTCTACTACGTTAACTAATGTGCGTGCACATGGTTGCAACAAGAAATGCAGCACTGTACACACACACATACATACGTACGGGGATACTAACTTGATCTTGGACTGCCGCATGAACTGCTGGATCTTCCTCGCTGCCTGATGAGCCGCCTGCTGATGGATCGCCTGCTGCCTCGCGCTGGCCGAGCCCGGCCGCGCGCGATAATTTCGATAATTGTTCTGGATCACCAGCGCTGCTTTCGTGGCTTGCCTGCGATAAACAGAAAGTACGGCTTAAAGTCCAAATATTCCAGAATATATATTCAACAATGGAGCCATTGCACTATACTAAACTTTAGAATAATTACTAGCATTGCATTAGAACGACATAAGACGACGAGGCTATTAAAAAAATGATTCTCATCGAAAAAAATGAAAATTCAATTAAATTAATGCATTTCGATCTTTATTCTGTAATAAATGATAACTAGAATTTGCCGCAAGCCGAAAGTTTTCATTACTTCCCGCAACTTGCGTTTCCGCGAAGATTCTAGAATGTTAATACATAGTTAGTTGATTGTCACTAATTTCGAAGGCATTACAACGGGAAGTTCAAATCGCTACGTATATAACTCGAATGCAGGAAGGAGAAACGGCAGAATACCGATCTCCAGCTTCAACGCGAAAGTCGTATTAATTTAATGCCAACTTAATTCTGTATTCAGGCCACCGTAACGAAGGCAGGGAAATCCGCAAAGTTTCCGAATTATTTACGATGCCAATTAAAAGTTCGCCTCGAGAGAGAGGTACACGGGGTCGAACTTTGGTGGCATCAGTCTGATTCAGTCGGAGGTCGTTAAGTCGGCCCACAATGGTACGGTCTTGTCCCCCGGTTATTAATTGTCCCTTATTAAGACGTCCCCCCGCAACCTCCTCGGCCAGCGGAATATCGATGGAAATTTAACTTTCTAAGTTCGGAGCAATTTGGCGATGTCTCGCGCGATGCGAGATAATGATCTGTCATACCTAACAACCTTGAGTTCAACCTGATAACACGTGCCCGCATAAACTCGGACGATCTGTATCTAAGCGTCGCATGCGTCGCGTAAAGTAGTTAGTACCATTATAGTCAGACAGCGAGTGATTCATTCTGTTCTTAAGACTTTCAAAGTTGGAGAAAGTTCGATAGCATGCGACATGTTCAGATAGAAGGAAAGAGGAACGTTGAAACACGTGAAACAGGTCATTCTGAATATACGTAGATAAATATTATATATATAGATATATATATATATATATATATATAAAACAATATAATGAAATCAAATTTAAAAATAAATATGAAAGATCTATTCATCAAGAGACACGATAGTGTCTTATGTCAAATGCTATATGTATGCCAAGACCGACCGTGTCTCTTTGTCGAATCGCGAAGATTACCCGAGAATGAAATCTCAATAACGGCCGAACCGATTAAGTTCCAAATAGACTTAAATAAAATTAACTTGAAGCGATAGACAAATTACCTGTGATAAGCGTACTGTTTGTGACGGCGATAGTATTGTTGGATCAGAACGGCGGCGTGCCTCTCGGCCTCCTCCTGCCTCTGGCGACCCTTGTAATTTCTATACGCCTTCTGGATCATCCTGGCGGCGTGGTAGAGCTCTCTCTGCTCGCGATCGGACAACGTCAGTCTGCTGAGATCCGCCTCGCCGTCGCCGTTTCCGACGCCGACCACCGTCATGGCCCCGGAACCGAGCATGCCGTTCAACTTGCGCTCACCGCCGCCGTTCGACGAGTAGTACTGCCCGCTGCGAGCGTTACCGTTACCGTCGAGTTGCAGCTGCAGCTGCAGAAACTCGCAGAAATCGGCGGTGGTGGGCGGCGGGGACGGCGAGTCCGGCGTCAGGCAACTGCTGGAGGGACTCGAGGGACTGGCGTCGGCGTCGACGTCCGATACCGAGGCTGCGCCACCGCTGCAGTCGCGATACGAGTCGAACAGTTCCCCGGAGTCGAGAGGCTACAAGCAGGACAATTAGCATGTAAATAGAGCTTTATATAGTGGAAAACCCAGGAACTGCAGAGTTCCATTCATCGAAACTCTAATCCGACTTGGTCCAAAGTTTTACTCCTAATTATGATTCAAGACTGAACTGTTAATGGTTGCTGTTTCTCCGATTATATCCGCCAGAAGACTATGTCGCACTCAGGGAAGTTTCAACGTTTCAATTAATTATTCGCAATCTCTTGTCTATATTTAACGCGCTTTGAAATCTAACAATAAATATGTAGAAATATTAAGATAAAGGACTTTACAAGTCGCGCGACGTTCCGACTATCAATGATAATAGCGTGCGTGGTATTCTCACCATTTGTTCCATGAGAGCGTCTTCCAAGGGTGACAGAGGCGCCGTGAGTGGTGGTGGCGAGGAAGACGGAGAATCACCCTCCGCCCTCTTGATCCTTTCCGGTAGCGCTGCTATAATTTGTTCTGCCAATGTCAGCACCCTCGCGTCTTCTTCCCCTACAAAAAGGAATCAGCACCCTAGCCAAATTCGAAAAGCTCGTGGTGGCAGACCGCCGAAATCACATCGATCACAACACCGAAGTTTAAAAGCCGTGAACGTGTTCTACGATGCATCGAGATGCTGGCCGCAATGGTCAGGTAAAATGTTTTAACACCAACAAGTGCGCCGCTACGACACGAATTGACAGCACGAAGACTCAGACAAGTTGCTGGTGAAACGCGGCGCTTTCCTACTCGTTTCGTAAGATGACAGCCAGCTGAGATACCTCCACATCGGTCGACTGGGCAGATCACACGTCTGTCCGTATGATAACTTAGTCGCTATACTGCCATTAAAAGATTGTATACAGACGAGATTGTTGCTCGAGAATAGGCCCCGATAGCCGAGTAGGTAGTGGCTAAGAAAATTTAAACATTACACAGCAATTCATCCAACACCAGCGGTTACGAAGGCCAAGCAACACCAATACTGTTCAAGCTGCAAGAGTTGAGAGGAGTTAGAGAAGGCAGCAGAATCGCTGATCGATTCCGATCGTCTCGTACGCATACAGACAGATAGATAGAGAAAGAGAACACTGCTGTACGCATATACGTGTGTCTGAGTATGTGTAAGAAATGTATGTGTATGTGTCGAGTGTGTCTGTGAACGAGGGAGGCGAACGCAGTTTCAGCTATAGGATCTCTACGGAAGTCTTCCACGTGATTGTGATGGTACGTTTAGACCGGTCCATTTCTATCGGTAGTGTGTCGCAGAGAACAGACAGAGAACGGATAGTTTTTTTTACAGACAGACAGGCAGACAGACAGACATAGAAGAGGAAACGAGGAAGGTACGGACCTACGGTCTCCTGAGGGGTCGGAGCGCTCTCCATTCCCTGTTCGCTGAGGCCTAATGACGACTCGTCTTCTTGCAACAATTCCATGTTGTCCAGCAACGGCGAGCCACCTGTGTGTTTTTCGATAAACCCCACTTAATGCTATGTACGTTGCCTAATTTTATTACGCTCGCATGACTTACGGCCTTTTTTGTGACTCTACGGTTTTTACAAACTGGACAAGGGAAAATATAATGGCGCTGAGGGGGCTAATCGGCAAGGGGTAGGGTGTGACTATACGTGTGTTAGATACGTGAATGTGTGTGCGTGTATACGGAAGAGAGGGCAGTATATAATAGCAAACGAGACTAACACAACGCCAGATCGAGACCGCTGTCTTGAGATGGCCGCCTAGGGCTAGGGCTGGCGGGTCGCAAGAAAAGCCTCTCGTCTTGCCTTCGGGTCTCGAGCTGATTCAGTTCTTCGGCGATCGCCGTGTGACCGTTCTCCGCGGCCAGTTCGGTCGCCGTTCTATTCTGACAGTCCCTCACGCGTAGTGCCATAGCATTCCATCTATGGAGGCAGAGTTAAAACAACAAATACTTATTAAAAATCCTATTCGATTAAAAATCAGTGTATTCGTGGTGTGAGGCAATTGCGAGCTACACGAAAGGCGGAGATGTGTAAATTTTTTTGTATAACTTCATAGATCCAGTTGTTTTCTATTAAATAAATGTTGCTTCAATAAGGATATATTTTCACAAACCTGTAAAGAATCCTGGCGGTGTCGGCGTGCCCTGCCGCACAAGCCCAAGCAAGTGGCGTAAGGCCGGCGCTATCCTGCCTAAGAGCATCGACCTCGGCGTCCAAAACACTACTAGGATTTTCTGCTCTCCAGTGAAGGAGTGCACAGGCTAACCTGGAGTATCCCAATCCGGCCGCCAGGTGCAGGAGGGTAGGCCCACCGGATTGAAGAGGTTCCGCTCCAGTTCGCCAAGGACGGACAACAGCATCCTGCAATATTTCAAAACGACAAAATTTTACGATGTAATTTACTAAAATATAATTATTCAAGATTTCAATTTAAGCTTAATGATTGAATATAGAAATATCGTGCAGTTGTTGAAGTACCTGGCAATAAGCAACCAGTCGCTCTTCCAGATGAGCCGCGGGAGACGGCGGACCGGGACCCTGCAGACGGGCCTCGACGTCCGCAAGACGGTCCAGCAGAGCTTTCTCTGGGCTAGGTTCGCTTGTTGGCGCTCTACGATATTCGAAGGCAACGCTATCGGACACGACGAAACCGTCACAGGCCACCTGGAGGGACGCTATTCCTGGCGCGTGTGCGGGACATCGGCAACGCAGCACGCCTGGTTGCACGAGGCATGCCTCGACTGGTTCCGCGTCGAAAAGTACCGAATACGACTGAGAACCACTACCGCCGGTCCACGGACCAGCAACTAATACCTGAAATATTATTTATATTATTTATTAGATATATCTGCATGATAATCAGCGAATCCATGAAAAAAAAAAGAATCAGCTGTAAATATGTATATTTTATTTACACACCTTTACACCACCCTCGGTGTAACTCCACTCAGGACTATATTCTGCAATATGGACGGTTGTACCAGGATGACATCCGACGTCATTCTCGGGACCACCTCGCTGTTCCTCGTGCTTCGTCTGCTCGGCCTCGAAGTCGTGCAGCTCCGGCAAATCGCCGAATACGTCGAACGCGTCCAGATTGACCAGCACGTCGTCCGACGAGTCGATAAAGTCCATCGGATTGATCATGCTGTTGTCCGCCGGCGAAGGCGACGGCGACGGGGGCACCATGTTGGCCGACAGTGTCCTCTGAATATCTTCCTGACTCAGATCCAGCGTCTCCGCGAAATCAGTCACCTCGGAGCCGGAACCGCCCATTGGCAGAGATTGCACGGCAGATCTGTCCATACTCTCCTGCGCGTCGATTTCTTGCTGCGTTTGCTGTTCTCGGTCGACGCTGGCCTGCGATACGATTTGTTGCTCTGTGACCTGTTGCATCTCCACCTGCTGACTTTGCTGCTGCTGTTGCTGCTGCTGCTGCTGCTGCTGCTGCTGCTGCTGCTGCTGCTGCTGTTGCTGCTGCTGTTGCTGCTGCTGCGGCTGCTGCTGCTGTTGTTGTTGTTGCGGCTGTTGCTGCTGCTGCTGTTGCTGCTGCTGCTGCTGCTGCTGATGATGATATGGTTGACTGTTGAGTATCAGAAGACCACCACCGCCTTGAATTTGTTGCAAACTTAAAACTAGAGGAGCCGGCTGTTGACTCTGAGTGGAATGGGAATGTCTTGAATACACGCGGGGAGCCGGAGCCGCCGTCGTCGATTGTTGTTGACCTCCCGTTGTTGAAGTGACCTATTTCAAATAGCTGTATATACATAACTGTATATGCTAATAATTTGACTACGCGATCACGTTATAGATATTCCAAAAAAAATTCTTAATTGCCATAAGTAATTTTTATATACATATATTATACATTAATAATGTTAAGAAATTTCAAATTTATAAATTATATAAATTATATAATTAAAGCGTAAAATTTAATATGATACCTGATTGTCGGGCGTAAGTCTCCTAGGTGCGAGTTGAGTGTTGCTGGTGGTGGAAGTGGAGGATGCCCTCTGCCTATCGAGCAGTTGAGAGACTATCATGTCGACAGGATGGTTCGAGTGCTGCGTGAGATGAGGATTGTTCGGATCGTCATCTCCACCGAGGAACATGGGCCTTAATTGCGACGCTAGCTCGTCTCGCGTCCACTCCTTCTTGTCTGGCGGCAACGCGAGGCAGGGTGGCAGGGCCGCCAGCTTCGCATCACCGTCCGGATAAGGGACGTTCAAATAATGGACGAGAACAACGTCCGGGTTCTGCAGTAGCCAGTAACACCGGCGATGAAACGTCGGAAGGATCGCCGAGTGCACGTAACAGCCGTAGATGCACTCGACTCCCTGAACCTGTGAACAGATGAATAATAATAATTCATTAATAAAAATTCCGTTCGTAAATTTTAAAAACGGAATTTTAATAGATTTTAAAATAAGTCATGTTTTAAGTAGGTACTCAATATTCGTCTTCTTGCTTAATTTTGAGCGTAAAGTTACCTTCAGTTTCATGTGATCCTCCCGTGTAGTCTTTCCATCTTTTCTTTTCTTCCAGCAATAACCGTCCCGCCGGTAGCGTACTTTCTTCCTCGAGTACAGTAACATTGAACCACTTCGTGGTCGTACTTTTACCTCCCGACTTTGCCATTCGGCGTGCCTCTGAAAACTGATTAGGATGGCGGCGATTTCCTGAAAATAAAAGAGTAGACTTCATTTATGTTACATAACATATAATTACGATATCTCATACATGCTGTATTATTAATGTGTTACAGCATCATATATGCTGCATTTAATTTAATCATCCAACTAAAGTTTATTCGTTGACGTTTTATTTTTGTAACACTCATTTTTATAACATTGTTAAAATTTAAAATTTATTTTTATAATACCATTATTATAACATTTATCGAATGTTAAAACAAAGATAAGATAAGGAACACTAAACCGAAGTAGATTGTTGTAACAGCCACGTGGAACGCATTTTAGATATATTCCGCTGACATATGCCTTTCTCTATAGATTTGGCTTCAGTCCGAAAATTGCGCTGACATATCTCTGATCTATCTTGCAGACTGTGCTTTCATCTTTGGAGAAATGGAATCATAGATAGTCGCAAACACGTTGAGCGACGAACTCCGTGATATATTTGCAGAGGAAATGTGTTCTTTTAAAGAATATAATAATAATTAATATCTTTACAGTATGATTTATAAAAGAACATTTTATTCATAGCAACATAGACATTATTCATAAATACTTTTGACCTATCGAATAATTTGGATAAATGGAAATTTAATTATAAAACTGTTAAGAATTTATCGATTAACTTTGTTGAATTAAATACGTAAAAAGGAAGTAATGAGATTGCAAATTTCATGGACGGAATAAGATATCTTACATTGTCTAACTCGACATAATCAACAAGTCGAAATGGCAAAATAATTATTCTTAATCATGACCTCCTAGTCGAAGTTTTGGCCTGGAAACTTTCTCAGTCTTGTAGCTATCAGGACCAAAAATACTTAACATAATGAATAATTCAGCAGGGAACACATATACGGGCTTGACGTACTTGGCGTATGAAAAATGGAGAAACTGTCTTCAAGTCGGATATCTCATCCGTACAGCTTACATCGCACGCGTAGCACGTCTAGCAGAGACGCGAAATGTGCATGTTGCGCCATTCGCATTTACACGCCGCTAACAATAACAGCGCGGCTTATTACGGTTCATTATTGATTTTCGCCCGCGAGGAACCGCTCGGCGTTAATTTTAAGCGGACGGGGCGCGATAGTACGGCATTATTAGAGAAGGAAGTAACACCGGTACCGACGTTAAGAAATGCAATTACCGCGAGGACTTTTGATGTCGCGTATCACGATAGTCCGTCTCTGTAACTTCGCCTTCCCTCGCGCTCCTCCATTTTTCCCTCATCATCCCTCAGCCGTACACACGCCGACGCGGCACGCAACAATCGGCACTTGGCGGGCCCCGCACGATGCGCATAATCAGAATAAAAATGCAAAATTCACTTCTATAAATATTCGTGCTACGACATGCGATGCTTATCGGCAATTCAGGCTACTTGAGGACATAAAAGAAGAAAGGCAGCGTCCGCGCGGGAAAAAAAAAGCAAATTCAACACCCGAAGGCGAGGTAAGTAGGTAGCCAGGGGCGCCCGCGACACGCGACCTAATGTACAATAATGCAAATCGAATCGGTGCACGCGGTCGATCTGACCGATCTGAAAAATTTAATAACGGGCAGCAGTGAAATATACAGTGTGCCTCATGATTAGCCACGATTCCGAGATCGCTAATAAAATTTCGAGCCACTGTTAAGAGAAAGGTAACGAGGCGTGCATTATTCACGATTTAAAATAATAATTTGAGCAACGATGCAAATTGTAAATTGCATCGTTGCTATTTATCGCTTCAACGATTATAAATCTCGGTGGTACAGAAATTGCAATTGTTAAAAATTGAACTACTTCACAGACTGTAATTAAATTAAATTAAATTCGGCGTTCAGAAATATCGTTTTGTCGTGGCGCGATGTTTTGTTAAAAAGCACTGTTTGTTACTAAAGAGCCGCGGGGCTAGTGACGAATGTAATAAATATGGACAATTCTCTCGCGATATTCTAATCAAGCGAGTTTGCCCTTAACTCGACTGGAAATACAGAGCGCGAGAGAGCGTCCGCCGCCCCGGCATCCCGAAATATATAAATATAATAACGTAATAAAGCGCCTTCGCCTAAAAATTCCCTTCCGATTCAATTTCGCTGATTTGGCAGAGTGCCCCGTGCATTTCCACGGAGAAGATTATAGAACGGTACTAAATATGCATATCAGCCGGAATATGTATCGCGCTCCTCACGAAGGTTACTATCGTACGTCATTAGAGCTTTTGTCAGAAGCACCACCACGTCCACCACCCCTATCGCGAGCTGTCTCTCCCTCTCTAGTCCATTAAATTTCTTGGCCGTGATCTCAGTTTCGCGTCGAACCATATGAAATGTATTTGGGGCACTACATTTTATATAGAACAACATCTTGTAATTACTTTCGATATATCTATCTAACAACTATTCGCAATATAAAACAGTTTTAGATTATATATACAATTAATAAAGTTTTCGCAAACGTGTTTCACAGTTCTTCGCGTATATACAATATTTTATAATACATCGATACAAACTGTTAGAGAATGTTTCTTTTTATTTGCGGATTTAGCAGAAACATGCAAGTTGAGTACTTGAGCGAAATGCGAACTGCAAATACAAACATTTGTCACATTCGGCTAGACTGGCTGCGGTTCGCATTTCTACGCGAAGCACCATCCATCTGCCAAGTGTAAATTAAATTCCCGCGAGATTCTGCGGCTATCTTCCACGTGGTATTGAGGATAACCCGAATACCGCACGACACAGGGCTACATGCACGTCGGGCCACGTATCTTGCGCACATTTTGCAGTGACAGCGCCAGCTTTTGATTGGGCCCGCTACGTGAACCGAACCCGCACACCATTCATTTTAGATGAGGCATGGCAAGATTGGATTTTCAAGACAAATATGATCGTCCGATCTCGCGAAAAACATGTGACCGGACTTGGAAAAGAAGAGTAAACATCCATCGGCAAATAATTCATTCTCCTTCACTGATTCCTACACAAATAACTTCGCGCTATTCTGTTTTTACAGAGACATGACTTGTAGTCTCCATCCTTTCATAATAAACATGATCATGTTCGTAATATCTCAAATAATTTTCGTGAAAAGATTTCTTATTATCAACGTGCCGAGCACGTGAGTTCGACAGTACGTTGCTATAATATATTTTAGCTCAGAACCAAGTTCCAATTACTAATTTAGAATATCTTTTCCGTTCCAAATGTTAATCACGAGAAGGCGGCTGTGTGGCCGGGAATTCGGAAGCTATACCTAATACCTTCGTGCGCGCCCCATGGGTATAGCTTCAACTTTCAAAAGGTTCTCGGACGTACGTGGCCTGGATAATAAATATCGTCAATGAAGGGTAGCAAAAAGGGAAAGGTGAGTAAGGATAACAGCAAATGGACAACGCGAGTTATTACGGTATAATGAAAACAATATCAGTATAATAACACTGTATATGAAGTAATAGAATACTATACAGAATTTCGCTCAATAAAACAAGGTTTAAGGAACAGAATTCTTTCAAACGGATTAAGCTGCTTTCAAATTTGTAACTCGCTCAACATAAAAATTCATATAAATATAATAGAAATAAATGTCAACAAATTAAAAACTACGACTTCAATAATACTTTAATAATGGCAATATAAATCAACCAAAGGATTATTTGATGCGAGGAAGGTATAGGAATAAAATGAAAAAAAATTCCTTCTTTTTTCGTGCTGCTCATTTTGGAGCATTTCATATAGCGAGATCGTGGAGAGCATACGAAAATAAGATGGAAGAGACCGTTGCGGCTCCGCCGACCATTAGACCGGCCGGGTACCAACAGCGGGGCCAGATAAAGCCCTCCCCCCCTCATTCCCCCCCACGGCACGCCGTAGTGATTTACAACTGGTTAATTGATCATTTGCATTCTAGCGAGGATGCTTCGTGCCGCCATTCGCCGCGCCGCGCTCGGAGACGAAAACTCGCGACCTCGGGCTTTGCCGAGCATTCGTGCGTCCCTTCGCTACAACTTCCCCGCTCGCGCTCACGTCTATTTGCCTTGATTAATCGCGGAATGTGTCTGGACAAAAATTGGGTTAAACCAGCAGGCGAGAGTTCTATCGCGAGTTCACGCGCTTCGCGTATACGCCAATTATAAATCAAACGTCAGTTAATCTCCGTGTGGTACTATTACTTTGTATGTCCTAATATATCGAAGGCATTAAGTAGCTAATCTATATTTTGTATATCATAACGTCAATAGTGAAATGGGATCTTTTATTAAGAGCTTCATTAAGTAAAACATATATTTATCAAAGAGAGAAATAATTCAGATTGGATCATTTGTGCCAAGTATAACACAAGTAACATTTTACAAGAAATAATTTAATTTAATAATTTAATTAATGCAATTAATATTGTATATAATAATGTAAAAAATTGTATTTACTTTTTAAATAAAGCGCTGTCTTTTCGTTAATTCGTAAAAATTTTAAAATATTTTTTATCGTGCGTGTAATTCTTTTACTTTAAAATACGCAACGTTTGCTCAACCATCACTTGTTGTTAGAGTTTCGAAGATAAGAAATTATGTGACATAATTAATTGCATATCACTTATGCTAATATTAATAATATTAACACAGTTATATTAGCATTAATATTAGCATATCACACTTATTTTTTCACAAGATATATCGCATGACGTCATTCGAGAAATATGTTGCTCATTACTATTGAATTTTGAAATCCTTTACAAATTCCTAGCGCACTTGTGTATTGTTCTGTGCATTGCGTTTCGCGCTGATCGTGAAATAGGTCAAGTAACGCATGGAATATTTTAGCTCATAATATTTTCTCATATATGCGTACGTGACAAAAGAAGCTCATAAAATATAAATGGGACCATCGATTGAGACGGCAAAAATCAGCTCTCAGACAAAACTATGCTTTCATAAAAATTCCTATGTTATAGAAACACACAAATTTTAATATACACAAAATATGTTCAATATTATTTTAAT